GTAAACATTTCAAAAGATGCGTACTAATATTTCAAGCGCCCCGTAACGTGGGTAGATCACCTTTTCGTGGTACGTTACGGGATGTAAGATCTACCACCGATTCCTAGTCCCGACTACTTCAAACTAGGGCAACATGATTTGTCAGTAATCAAAGGAACACATCTTAGTCCTTGTTACTTTTTATGCCTTGTTGATAGTGACAAGACTCGGCTTTGTCCATCGAGGATGATCTTAAAACAAGGAAAAAATGAGTTAGTTAGTCTTCATCTATGTGGTTCCTATTATTCTATTCGTTGTTCTCTAGTTTGAAGTGGTTAAGACTAGGGTTCTGATGCATGGTCATTATCGGTGTCATTCCTTAATTTTATTGCTGAGGAATCCAATTTTGACTGACAAAGGGGCGCGCCTTTGGAGGGTATTCCAACACTCCGAAGGGTATAAATAGCGGGACCTTTCAATTAGAGTCGGATCCTTGTGATAAAAGAATGACAACGTAAAAAAATCGAATACTTCATCATTTCTCAATAGTGGTGGAGTAATACGACATGCCCTAAACTAAGGAAGGACACGGGATATACTACAATAGATCAAATTACTGGTCGCAGTGGTGTTAGGTCCCGAACAGAGAAAAATAAATATTTCAAGCAACTTCTCTCAAGACACTTTACCTCTAAAACGTCCCAAAAGCTGAGAAACACCTTTTGACCGCTTTCTTTCAGAACGGCCCCACTGTGTAATGATACCTCTCTGTATCTTATCTAAATACATTGGAAGGAGCTTTAGAGGAGTTAAAGAAGCTGCAGATGAGTGCAGAGAGCTTACATTTCTGACTCATTAGAGGTCCACTGTTGTAGAAGCACGTAGAAGGTTTGACTATATTATATTTCGGCTTATCAGTCAGGAACCCAAGCCACACAGATACATGTCACAAAAGATCAATGTATAGGTCGCAGTAATTATGACCCTGATTACCATAACAGAGGGGGATAAAAAAAGCTAAAGCTGATATTCGGGTTAATGGTAATTTCCCCTAATACCATTATAATACCATTAGTTATAGCATAATGTATAGGTTTATATATTTATTTTTTCATTTCGTTTATTCGGCAGGCTCAAATGTTAAAAAAATAAACTAGCGGAGCCGAGTAACATGGAATACCAATGTTGGTACTCAAAATACCAACAAAAGATATAAAAATGCATATTATTATAGGATTTTCCTGGGTGGCGATCGAAGCGGCGACAAAGCGATCTTCTCCCGTGCACGCAACTTCTTTCTTTCCCGAATTTGTTCCTCATTTTCATTGAACCCGAATCGTGATCGCTGCTGCTGCTTCTGAACGTCGTTTCCCGTTGCATGCTTTGCGCTACTTTCGTCGGTCGTCGGGGTCGTCACGTCCATTTCGTTATTTTCATTCAACATCTCCAACCCCGTGTCCGTTTCCTGGTCGCCAATGACAAACGACGCACCTTCCACCACTACACCAGCATACTTACTGCTGATGTTTTGTTTTCTTTCACTTTGCTTTCCTTTTTCCATTAGTTGCTTCTCCGGTTCCTTCCGAGCCTTCCGCTTGGGGCAGGAAAGCTTCCGGTGTCCGTCCGTCTTGCACAGAAAACATTTATCTTTGTTGCCATCATAAAATATATTTCCTTTGCGATCGAAGAAATAGAATGACGTTGGGATTTCCTTCTTCACATCCATATATATACCGCGTATCCCTGTATATACCTCAAAGCACAGATCAGTTCGAAATTTCTCCCGGATGATGCGTTTAATTTTTCCATATTTCCCCAGCCCTTTATCCAGCTCGTTGTCGGGTACCTCTGGTGGCAAGCCATACACACGTACATACTGGATGAATTCACCAGCATGCGACATGCGTACCTTTGCCGTCGTTTCATTCGCATAATGGAAGATTAAATCCTCCGAATTGAATGTCAGAGCATGGAGCATCGGTTCCTCTGATTTGAACTTCATGAAGACTCCCCTTTCCTCACCAATGCGATAAACAGCTTTCATTTCCGCCAGATCCGCGTCGAGTGCTTTGGCGACATTTACAATCTCTCCGATGTTTGGTTTAGCATCATAATGGCTGAAGCTAAACTTGAAGGTGTTTTTTACTTCACACATCTTGCACCGTAGCAACAAAAGGCACCGAACTTCTAGCAACGAACAAAGAGCAACCATATAATAGCGAGTCGCGAAAACAGGCTATCGCGAGGTTCACACCGAAATAAAAATTCGACTGCTGCTGTAGACAGCTGTGGGACAATTGATGGTTTATATATTTAGATATAAAGAAAAATAATACACGCTCTTCAACAGTATTTTTGAGAGTGACAGGCGTGGGCAATCGTAGCTCAGCGGCGTGACGATCTCTGAAAAACTGGTGCGCCGTTAAAATATGTGTCTGCCGCGGCGTCTCCTAAAACATGACAGCGGCGTACACCTTGCGTCCCATTCGGAATTGAAATTAAATAAACAGACTGCTCAACAAATTTTAACGTTTGGAGTCATGGCAGTGCAAAATGTGCAGTATTTGGATTTCCCTGCTTTCTCTGGGGTTTTTGTCGATGCAGTTTGAAGGGGAATTTTCAATAACTACGTAAAAAGCTAATAGAGATTTTCCGTTCAGATGTACCTTAAAACATACCTCAGAATTTCCTTTAAAATCACCTAACTTCTTTTGAAATTATGCCCGAATGCTTCGTTGAAAATTCGCTTCCTTGGGAATACTCCTATCAATTTTTTGTTTTTTTTTTTTATTATTATAGTCACTTTAACACTCTTGGGTCATTCGCGACTTGTCCGGGGTGAGATTTGAACTCGTGACTTTGGCGTGAGAGGTATGGATGTTAACCACTACGCCGGGGTCGCCCCCCGCTCCTATCAATTTAATTGGATACTCAGAATATTCATTGAATTAATTTCAGAATTCTTTTTGGATTTCTTCTTCCCTTAGAATTCTACTCACAATTACCTTGCAGTTCTCTTCGCAAATCCCTTAGAATTCTCCTCAAAACTACTTTTTCAATCAGTTAGCACTCTCTTGGAATTTCCTTTGAATACTCCTCAGAAGCATAGGCGTAACTAGGATGCTGAGCTAGTGGAAGGGGGGGTGCATGGTCCTAGCTGACAAGACATAAACCATCGGTAGTTTGGGGGGATCGACACAATATCTTCACTTATGCATTAAAAAATTACGGGTGGCGAAAGATGTACCTACCGTAAACCTACTAGTTGAGAAAAACGATGAAGAAGTTATGTAGCTACTAGTGATAAACTATTTCTACCAAAAAGTAGTGTTTCTGAAGGTGTATACAAGAAAACTATAAAACTACCAATATCTGGCCATTTAAAAAATGGGAATCCTAATTCTACGCTTAAAATTGCCGAATTCCGCGCACTTTTTAAATCGTTATAATTGTTTAATATTTGTGTTTATAATACTATCGGAATCCAGTGGCACATCTAAGTAGGCATGGGATAACGGGAGGGGAGGTTATAGGGTAACTGGATGCGAGACTATAGGGTAACGAGATATGCTCTCGGTCTATGCTCTTTTCCGCATACATAGTTTGTGTTTTTACAAAAGTTCAGGGATCTTCTTAGAAATCAATGAAAATTCGTAGAAGCAACGACTTAAGACAATCATTTCAGGAAACTTCGAAGATTGGTGGGAAACTTTTTAAAAGTTTAGAAAATGTTATATAACTTCAAGAAACTCCATAAATTTTCAAAAATTTCGTAGCAACATAGAAAACATTTTAAAATTTCAGAAACTTCGTAGAATTTCTGGAGATTTTTTAAAAGGGCAACAAATTTTATATGAGTTTATAGGAGCTACACACTTAATCACGGTTTCCCTGTTCGGTATATTTTTTTTTTACAGTTTTCAAACTGTAAATCACAAAAATTACCGAACATTCAGCTATTTTAAATACAACTACTGATGTTCGGTAGCTTTTGCAAAAAACTACTGAATACGGTAATACAAATTACTGAGTTTACGGTAAATAAACAGCTTTACGGCGAAAAACTAAAACTCAGTAAAATAACACCGAGTTTTCGGTACTGATTATATTTTACTGAAACAGTCATCAAACGAAATTCCAGTGATGATCACATAGGAGATACATACATTTAGGCTATGTGATCATCGATGATCAACCAATGATTTTTGTGATGTTCGAGAACTTCTAGCGATTCGATCTGCTTATAACTTTAAAGAAATAAAGTTTAAAGATTATTTAAACTAACTCATTGATTATTTTGGTGCCGCAATAATTGTTGACATGCTAAATAATGTTTCGAAAATGACCAATTTCCCATACATTTATGTATGCGTCCTTGTATTTATTTCCGAAGGAGAAAAACACATTTCCATTTATTCTCCTACGTATATGATGCAATTGTTTCTTTCTCAGGCTCATATTGTAGCATGATAATGTGGATTCCAAACACACATGATATAGAATTCCTCTGATTCTTAGATTTATAATATTATTTTACCATATAAAAATCGAGAAAATTCCAACCGGAATATTTTTCATGAACCTGCCGACTCTGACTTGGCAATAGCGTGTCTCAACAGATTAGGCCAATGATAACTAATTATGTTGTTAAGTTATTTAACTAAGGGTCAAAGTTATTATGTCTTCCAAAATGATAGAATATAGGAATTCCTGTTCAAAATACCAGAGAACAGTTATAACATTTTTTTTATTTCTACGATCTTTTCAAACAGTTTATGCCATATGACCATTATGCCAAATGACCGTCATATTTTTCGTTTTTTTTACTTTACATTTTATGCCGAATGACTTGTTGGTAAATGAGGTAGCCCCAATATTAAGGGTTACCACGAACTTAAGGGGAGGAAAACAGAGCTATAAATGGAAAGGTTCTCATTTTTTCTACTGGTGTGCAGATCGCAATAATTATAGTAATTGTTATTACATATGATTATTATTATTATTATGTGAAGTTAAAGACAAAACTGAATATACTTGCGCAATGAATGGATGCAAGAACGGTGACCACTTATACTGGTTTGTAGTCCAATTTGCTTTCCAGTCTTTTGTTGTCTGCGACCTTCCGAACGGCCTTCATAAAGTCCTCTTGAATGACGTACTCCCGTTCAGCACGTATAGCAAACAAACCAGCTTCGGTGCACACGTTACGCAAATCAGCACCATTGAAGTTGTCCGATAATTTCACTACCGCTTCGTAATCGATATCACCGTGCTTGGCAATTGGTCCGGCGTGGATTTTTAAAATTTCCAACCTGCGAATAAATTCACTCATCAGTAAAGGTAAATCAATTTCGTACCAAACTCGCATACCTAGCTTGCTCATTGGGAAGTGGGATTTCAATTTTCCTGTCCAAACGTCCAGGACGTAGCAGAGCTGGATCAAGCGTATCTGGCCGATTGGTAGCCATAATCATCTTGACCTGTCCCAACGAATCGAACCCATCCATTTGATTCAGCAACTCCATCAGCGTACGTTGAATTTCACGATCCGCTGATGTTCCCTCGGAGAAACGTCGTCCTCCAATAGCATCAATTTCATCCATGAAAATTATACACGGCTGGTGGTCTCGAGCATAGTTGAACATCTCTCGAATCAAACGAGCCGATTCTCCGATGTATTTATCAACAATGGCCGATGAAACGACCTTTAGGAAATTTGCATCCAGTTGAGAAGCGACAGCTCGAGCAAGCAATGTTTTCCCCGTTCCAGGTGGCCCATACAATAGACACCCCTTGGGTGGAGTTATTCCTACACGAAGGAATAGCTCCGGATTGAGAAGTGGTAGTTCGATAACCTCACGCAATTCACGAATCTGTTCAGACAAACCACCAATTGCGGAATATGTAACTTCTCCTGGATCTTCGTGTGACATGTTGTACACCAAAGGATCAACCTCCCGAGGCAGGTATCTCATAATCGTTAAAGTGGTCATATCCAGTGCTACTCGAGTTCCCGACTTCAGCTTGGTCTTATCCAATTGCCTACGGCATCCTACCACATATCGAGGGCCATTCGTTGCCTTTACAATGAACTTGTCCTCCGTGAGCTGTTTCAATACTTCTCCCACGATCTGGCCGACGCTTTGCAGTGCCTTCAGGTCATTTTCCGACTTATCAAACTGTTTTGTAAGCTCCTTCAAAGATTCTCGCACTGCAAGTAAATATTGCGAACAATCATGACAAATCATTTTTCCGCACATAACCTCCATATTAGAAAGTTAAACAAAAAATATACAAAGCAACTTACACTCCTTTAACCTGGATTCCACTTCCTTGTGATCTAACAGCTTCTTCCGATAATCTTGGAGTGCTTTTTCACGAGTCGGTTCAACTGCAGTAGTCATTTTTACACAATTTTTCAACAAAGTCTGGAACGAATTTGTTTTCTTTCCACAAACGACGAATCAGTATCTGATCGCTCTTGCTTTGCCTGACGTGCATCAGAGCTGTCAAACTAGAGGGTCACGCTATTGCAGAGCTGCCAGGTGGTTTTATAAAAAATCTGTATCCACTCTATTAAAAAATCTGTATTTTCTGTATTGACGATTTTTTTCTTAATTAATCATGTTTTGTTGTTTTACAAATACAGTGCATACAAAATAACCATAAAAAGTGCTTAACCACCTATTCGGGCTATCTTACTAATCATACGGGATATAATTGCGCCATTTGTGATATCTTCCGTACTTATTTATAAGAGTGATATGAAGCCGTTTGAAAATGTATGGAGATTTTAGTTTCTATTCCTTATCTTCCTGATAAGCAGTTTTAAATGCAAAAAAGTGCACGAGTTCATTACTATTTGATATTTTTAATATAGATGAATACAATTAATTACATCATTTGTGTGGTAGTTACACCGAAAAGTCGAGAGATGTCGCCCCGTCAGTGCTGGTAAAATCATTTTTGCAGTATGGAGAATATCAGAAAATCCGCAATTTCTTACGCAATACATTTTCAATGCAAGTAAAATGTTTACGAGTACTTGTATTTGTACCATTTTAATGTGCTCGGGCACTTTTCTTGTATTTAACATACATGCTTATATTGGAAATATTCAATTAATACTGTAAATCCCCATACAATCTCAAATCGTTTACTACCAGCTCCATATGCATCCGAAAGCGGTTGGTCCTCTGGGTGTGAATGCTGTCAAAAACACCATAACATTCATTTTATAAAAATCTGTATAAATCTGTATTGTAATTTAAAAATCTGTGATAAATCTGTATTCTGTATCGGGTCTGTATTAAGATTAAAAAATCTGTATAATACAGATAAATCTGTATAAATGGCAGCGCTGCGCTATTGTGAGGCTACTCAGTGACTGGGTAGAACGCACTCATTGTTGCCTGCTGTATGGAGTACACAGAAAATGAAAATTACCCAAAGCTTGAGTTTAAACAACGCAATATTAAGCACGCTAACTTGAAAGTACTCATTAATGAGTAAAAAAAGACCCATTTTGAAGAAAAGTGGCTTAACTCATTAATGATTAAACAATTTTACCCATTAATGAGTATCTGTTACCCATTAATGATTAACAATTACTCATTAATGGGTAACAGATACTCATTAATGGGTAAAAAATTTACTCATTTAATGAGTTAAGCCACTTTTTTTCAAAATGGGTCTTTTTCAAGCATTAATGGGTACTTTCAAGTTAGCGTGAGTAAAACCGTTATAGTTACCTCTACACGGAGATGAAAAGCTACACGGAACCGAAAAATCTCGCGTCACTTTTCAAATAGACCAATGTAACAAATATAAATAAATCGAGTTGAGCGATACAAACTATTGCTCTTCTGCCATTGTATGTGATACAAAAACATCCATCCAAATTTACTTTAATTTTTTTAAGATAATCATTGATCAAAAATTGTCCAATGTACAGTTTGAAATGATGGGTACATGATTGTTACTTCGGTCATTCGGACTGCCTAACATGATTGGTGATCATTTTCCAAAGGCGGAGCCAATCTATAGTTAGGTACTATACTCTGAAATCTGTGAAAGTCCAGTATCATGTAGACAAAACGTCCAATGTAACACTCATTGATTATGTCATTGAGAAAAATCGTCCAATGTAACATGTCCGATGTACAACTCGACTTGTCAAAACGTCCTATGTGATTTTTTCTATGTTGTAGCATGAAATTCAAAGTAAAATTGTGATTTTACCGTTTCTTCTGAATTTTCAACGTTATTATATGCTGACTACATTAAAAATAGTAATGCAAAATGTATTGTTTTTAAACAGTTAAAATAATAATGTGTCGAACTTCAACTTCGATTTTCTCAAAATGGTGGATGTTACATTAGTCTATTTGAAAAGTGACGCGAGAAATTACCTAAAATTAAGTTCTTTTCACTCATCTCCCATGTTCCGTTCAATAAGCTAATATTCAGTAAACTGCTTATAGTAGTTTACATTTGACTGCGGCAAAAATAATTACTTACTCGTATGTATTTTCTACCCAAAATTAAGTTCAATTGACTCAAATTTGAGAATATCTCAGTGCTAACATTTGAAAACGGCACAAAAGCCATTTGTAAACAAATGGTTTGTGGGCCCTTTACTCACTACTTGAAGTACACCCACGCGACACAACAGCAACATCGGGTAGGGGAAATTTTCCCCTTCCTGACGATGCTGTTGGTTTGCGTGGGCGTTCTTCGGGTAGCGAGTAAAGGGCCCACAAACCATTTGTTTACAAATGGCTTTTGCGCCGTTTTCAAATGTTAGCACTGAATCTCATATACTCACTAGTAGCTTATTGAACGATAGTCATGAGAAAGTCGAAACTCTCGTTCCATTTTTGACAACAACAAAAAGTGAGAGTGGGATGCAAAACTCAAAATTACCCAAAATTTAGTAAAAAGAACTTAAATTTAGGGTAATTTTTTTTCTCTGTGTACCTAAAATTAAGTACACTCAAAAATATTATAATCTAAAGAGTATAAAGGCTACGCTAAATCACAACTCTCCAGGCCCACGCACATTAGATCCGGATCGGACGCGTTGCCGCAAAGTGACAGCTAAATCTATTGTCTAACTGTTAAATTTACGTCAACGCAACGCAAACGGATCTAATGTGGGTGGCATAGCTTGGTATAAAGGGAGAGAATATGAACTTAGTGGAAGCACCATATTCGAAGCGTCCCTAAATAGACGCACTCAATAATGTTCGACTATTTTAATGGTGTAACCACAAACGAAGTGACAGACGACTAACTGGCGAAGAAATCCATTTAAATAATGTGGTTCACTGTAATAGAATTTTCTTGGAAGCTTATGCCATCATCCACCAGATGGGTTAGTTTTTTTGTTTTGATTTGAACAAAGTTGATTTTGTGTACAATGATTCTTTGCCAGTGTGCAAAGAGTGCGTATCATTTTGTCATTTTTTATGCATTTCAGTTTTGAGTAGAGTGAAAGAGATAGAACCAAAACATTCTAGTACATTTGGTGAAAATGCTAGTTCAATCTAGTAGTAGTGTTGCCATGTGGTACAATCCAGTAGTAGTGGTGTTGCCATGTGGTACACTGAAAAATTGCAATAGCAGGTCTCCGCTCCGTCTGTCACTTCGTTTGTGGTGTAACCAAGGTGACTACATATAGGTGTTCTAATGTGTCAAATTCATGATTCAGCCAGGTTGGATTTTTGATTGAGATAGCGACCGAGTTTGTTTACAATTTGCTCTAAAACCACACTTTTCCACCCCGCGACCTCCTTGCCTATATAGCGACAAAGCTGTATCACCATTTATATACCCACCATGAGCTGAACATTCGGTACACTGATAAATTGAACTATTCCCATTTTGCTTGAAATTTAATCAATTTGACATTAAACTCAGTTTAATCATATCGAATGATTTAAAATTAATCCTCTCTTTCTAAAAAATAAGCATCTGATATTAATCCCAGTTTAATCATGGTTGATTAGATTGTAGATTATGTTTTTTTGAATAATTTTTAATCATTTTTGATTCTATTTTAATAATTTTTTATTGAATTTTAATATTTTTAGATTATATATCAGTATTGAAAAAGAATAAAATTTAATACTGGAAAGATTATTTCGAATTTAATCATGCATTACCACTACCGAAGTAATCACGGCTCGGACTCAATAAGGTGAATTATTAATTTACAGGCAACCAATTCGCGATATATTCCACATAAAGTTGATCGATGTTACAAAACCATTCATGGGCCTTACTGACTACCATAACCATTACCATTAATGTTCTCAAACCATAAGTAAAAACGTTCTAATATAGTTCTCTTTCCGAAAATGTATGGAGAAAACAAGAATTTGAAATGGTAATGGTTCTTAACGACCCATTATTTGTAAGGTCCGCTTCCTAAAAACCATAATACATAAGGTTAAAACTTTACCACACAAACGTTCATGTAAGGTTCCAAAACCATTTCAGTTAAAGTTAAGGAGGGATTATAAACAATTTATGACCATTATCGTTAAGGTCAATTTATGGTTCGCGTTTATGCGGGAAGTACCGAACAAGATTTAATAAATTTGGTGTGTAGTTTCCATTTAACACCAGCAAAAAACTTACCTACTATTAAGTATATTCTACCCAAAATTAAGTTTAATTCACGTAATACCCTGGACAGACTATGGCTTATATCATGTAATATAGGCTGTCTTGCAATGAGCACTCATACATCTAGTTTTCACTGGAAATCCTATGTATGAGTGCTCATTGCAAGACAGCCTATATTACATGATATAAGCCATAGTCTGTCCAGGGTATAAGTTTGAGAATATACATTTTACTCAGAAGCAACTTATTGGGCTGAACTATATCGTTGGGTCGAATATCTTGTTCCTTTTTTGACAACAATAACGAGTGCAAGTGAGAGGCTGAAGTTAAAGCCCTACCAGTAAAAGTATGGACGACTGTCACCACAAAACTGCAAAAAGCTGTTCCAATCGAGCAAAGCGGTGCAATTTGACGGTTCGATTGGAACAACTTTTTACAGACGTCCATACTTTTACTGTAGGGCTTTATACCCCGTTCACATTACAGCGTATATCACGTGATATACACAGCAAAAAAAGTTGTTGAATATTACATCCAAACTGCTGCAACCAGGTCAATCCATCGGTTGTGTAATATAACGTTGTACGATGTACATCGATTTTGCGAACAAAATTACATCCATTGATGTAATATTGTATTTGCTTTTTGCTATTACATCATTATTTCGTACATCAGCTTGAATTACGTTGATCGATATTACATTTTTTTTTGCTGTGTACGCTGTCTTGCAATGAGCACTCATACTTCTAGTTTTGACTGGAAATCCTATGTATGAATGCTCATTGCAAGACAGCCTATATTCAGGCACAAAAGCATTTGTAAACAAACTTTATAAGGCCCTTTACACGCGAACAAAAGTACGCTCACGCAAACCAATACACTTTCGGAAAGGTGATAGTTGCCCCTATCCGATGTTGTTGTTGGTTTGCGTGGGCGTACTTTGGTTCGCGTGTAAAGGGCCTTAGAAAGTTTGTTTACAAATGCTTTTGTGCCGTTATCAAATGTTATGCCTGATATCACGTGATATACACAGCAAAAAAAGTTGTTGAATATTACATCGAAACTGCTGCAACCAGGTCAATCCATCGGCTGTGTAATATCACATTGTACGATGTACATCGATTTTGCGAACAAAATTACATCCATTGATGTAATATTGCATCTGCTTTTTGCTATTACATCATTATTTCATACATCAGCTTGAATTACGTTGATCGATATTACATTTTTTTTTGCTGTGTAGGCTGTAATGTGAACGGGGTATTAGTTGAAGTCAATATTAAGAACTCAAATTTTGGGTAGTATTTTTTCTTCGTGTTCCTTCCTTCATCAGCTCGATCATCAGCAATCATCAAAAATAATTAATTTGGCACGGTTGTTGAGTTTCTCAACACACCAGCGTGCCGGCTGATGTTTGTTTGTAGGGAATTTTGTTTTGGATCAGGCGAGCGCGCAATAATCTAAATTTATTATCATTCCGTATTTGTGGTTCCGTTTAGAGCCGAGTCATTAGAATAATGAACGAAGCATTCCGTGCTATAGATGCTGGTGGTAGCCAGGACGAAGTAGAGGACGAAGATGGCTTGGTAGAGGTGACGGATTTCTACGACCCGATCGCGGCTTTGCTTTCCAGCATTGGTGGAGAGGCTGAGAATCTCACCGAGGAACTCAGGTAAGGCGAACAGTAACTGTTCAACTGCGTAACCACTATTTACCGTAACGAGTATTTCAGGAAATATGAAATCAAATACGAACATCTCTCCGGTTTATGCGAAGAGGATCTCATTATTATGGGTCTGAAGAACAAAAAGATCCGGGAGGAAGTGCTGGCCGATATTGCAGCTCTACCGAATCAGATTGATCATTATGACCTGTAAGTACTGCGAACGTATTTTAATAATGTGTGTGTGTGTGTGTATTCAATCTAAACTGGCCGGCAGTGATATTATGGAAGAAATTTCCTTACAACAATCCTTGATGTAATAATTTAAAGCAAGTTTAGTCAGGGAGTTAGAAAGCGATAGCTCTACTGCAGATTCAGCAACCCATTTCAGAATGCCTGGCAATTCACGTCCATTCCGAGGCTTCTTTCACATACAATAAGCGCCGCATGTAAACACTACCGTTATCATATGAATAATGGTACTACAAACAAACTTCCAGATTTCGAAATGTGATGTTTTGAAATCTGACGCGTATTAAGTAATATATCGAAGACAACTTATCTTGATTTGATGTCTTCGAATATATGGAAATATGCATTTAGTTTTATGTTTGATTTATAATCAGATAGATCGCACCAAATTCTGCCTCCGAAAAAGCACCGGTTTGTTCACTCGCGGTAATCGAAAAAATCTTCCTCGTTGTTTTTACAACCGAACACAACATTTTGAATCACATGCTAAATTTTTCATTTGCACCTAACACCTCATTCGCGTGCATCCTCCGGAAGGCAGAGCGCCAGCACCAAGAAAAAAAATAAACGATAAAAAACTTCTTGGGAGATAAGCAAAGCACCAAAAACAAGCGAAAAGAAAAACCGACCAACGCGACACCACAGCTACTCGAATCAGATTCTTGTCCTAGAGTTTTCACGTTAATTACAATATTACTAAAAAGCTTCTTAAACGCTCCCTCCCCCTTAGAGCGTGACAAAATCGACATAATAAATGCATCACGCTGGCTTTATTATGTCCCCTTACGGTGGCAGTTGTTAATTGAGCGCTTACTAAGTCTGTGCCATTTATGCATTTAGGCCTACACGGTGTTTCGTGAAAACCCATCAATGGGTAAAAAATACCCATTTTCAAACCATGTACGCAGCTGTCAAAAAATGGGGGAATTTTGAAATCATAAAATGGGAGAAAAAATACCCATTTAAAGAATCAGTTCACGGTTGAATAATGGGTATATTTTTTACCCATTAATGGGTGAAAAAACACTTCGAAATTTTATCGTCTCATTTACGTCACCGACTTAACAGTTAAGGGCCACCCACATTAGATCCGTTTGCGTTGCGTTGACGTAAATTTGACAGTTAGACAATAGATTAAGCTGTCACTTTGCTGCAACGCGTCCGATCCGGATCTAATGTGCGTGGGCCTTTACTGTCCGCAGCATATTTGGCGAAAATAGACGATCTCCGGAAAACGTTAGAATCCAAAACGTTGGAGAGGCTTACCCGCATAAACGCGAACCATAAATTGACCTTACCTAAAATGGTTAAAAATTGTTTATAATCCCTGCTAAACTTTAACTGAAATGGTTATGGAACTTTACATGAACGTTTAATGATAAAGTTTCAACCTTATGTATTAAGGTTTTTTGGAACTGGACCTTACAAATAATGGGTTGTTAAGAACCATTACCATTCCAAATTCTTGTTTTCTCCATACATTTTCAGAAAGAGAACTATATAAGAACGTTTTTACTTATGATTTGAGAACATTAATGGTAATGGTTATGGTAGTCAGTAAGATCCATTAATGGTTTTGTATTATCGCTCAACTTTACGTGGAATATATCGTGAATTGGTAATCAGTAAATTACAGGCAACCAATTCGCGATATATTCCACATAAAGTTGATCGTTGTTACAAAACCATTCGTGGACCTTACTGACTACCATAACCATTACCATTAAAGTTCTCAAACCATAAGTTAAAAGGTTCTAATATAGTTCTCTTTCCGAAAATGTATGGAGAAAACAAGAATTTGGAACGGTAATGGTTCTTAACAACCCATTATTTGTAAGGTCCAGTTCCAAAAAACCTTAATACATAAGGTTGAAACTTTATCATTAAACGTTCATGTAAAGTTCCATAACCATTTCAGTTAAAGTTTAGCAGGGATTATAAACAATTTTTAACCATTTTAGGTAAGGTCAATTTATGGTTCGCGTTTATGCGGGTACGGATAAGTCAATACATATTATCCAATATGGTATAATAATATTTCGCGTAAAATTTGAGCGGAACACCTGCATTTATTTTCAATGTTTTAGAAAGTTTTTTATATCAACGAGCGCTTGCATCCTCCATTTGTAAAAATGTGTATTTTTTCACCCATTTTACGGTAAACATAATATAAGAAAATGGGTGAAAAAACACCCATTTATTGACAGACTACCCATTTACCCATTTATGAGTAAACCATAGTTTACCAATTAAATGAGGAGGGGCACTTTTAGCGGTAATGGGTATGTTTATACCCATTAATGGGTTTTCGCGAAACACCGTGTATTCTGCGCGGCGTGTAAGGTGAGGTGACTCACTGTCACTACACAGCAAAAAAAATGTAATATCGATCAATGTAATTAGCAACGAGCAGAGACAATATTACATCAATGGATGTAATTTTGTTCGCAAAATCGATGTACATCGTACAACGTTATATTACACAACCGATCGATTGACCTGGTTGCAGCAGTTTGGATGTAATATTCAACAACTTTTTTTTCTGTGTAGTGAAGTGACAATTGTCACCTCGGGTAAGGTGACTCTCCATTTGATTTGCATGGAGAGTCACCTCACCCGAGGTGATAATTGTCACTTCACCATCACTTCACTGTCACCTCACCTCACAGGCCGCGCAGAATAGGCGTTCAAGTGGTCCGCATAGACTATTCAGCCATTACCCTTCCTTTATCCTCCGCTTTGGCTTGACTTGCGCTCCCATTGGCACCAAACGCTGCAAAATGAAAATGAAAGTATTTTATTTGAACAGTTCTTATTATAGGTACATATTTTCTTTCAATTCACAGCGCTATGAAATCGATAAACATCCAGGGATACATTCGGGAGGTTTTATTAAATGCTCAAAAGCATCTGGAAAGCCTGACTGCGTTGCTTACCCTAACCCAGCTAAAAAACTCCGCGCATCATGTGGAAAACGTACAGATTGAAGAAAACAAGTATGCCTCAGATGTAGCGGTAAGTGTCTGTGAGAAGCTAGCGACTAAAAGTTGCGAAATAGAGCAGTTTGTAAAGGATCTTAAACAGGGACGATTCTCGCGAATTCAGATTTCTTCAAATAAGAACAAGGAACCCAAAAAGGGTGATTGTTGCTACAAACTTTTACTAGTCTCAGTGCTGCTAGGCTGTGCGTACATTGGAGTTAAACTTTTCAAACCACTAGTTAAGTAAAGTTTACATGAGATGAGAGCATTATTTTCTTAACAAATATATTAAGCATTTATTTTGCAAATTGAAAACTAGTTGTCTATGGTCCATCAAGCATGGGCTCATCTCTGAAGGTGATGACAGCATCCTCCAAAATATCCTTTTGATACTCGATTACAATAATTGAATTCTTACCCTGAACCAGGATGTGTCGTGGGACATACAACGTCACTTGAGGACCTACCAATGGCCAGTATCGGCCCAAATTGAATCCATTGATAAATACCACTCCTTTTCCCCATCCGGTTGGGTCCAGGTAAGTGTCGTAGATTTCATTTGTTGCAATCATAAAATCGCCTTGGAAAAATTTCACCGAGCTCAGTCTGTCTGCATTGTCCTCAATACCAGTGTACTGATCGATGTAATTTTGTAGTAATGAATAATCATCCAGCGGGAAGCCTGTCATGGTCCAATTTAGAAGCTCACTATTATCCAGAGTGACTACGCCTAAAATACCTTTGAAGTCATTTGCAATGCCATAGTTGATGCGCCCTTGATTCTCTACTATCAGCTGAAGTTTTCTTCCCACTCCAAGGTTAATCGGTAGAGAGTAGATGGCATTTTCTCGTGACAGAACTCCGACGAATTTCTAAGTGAGGAATAAGGATTTTTTAGAATGTTGTATAACATAGGATTACGAACGGCTTAGGCCTCCCAGACTCTATTCTAAGCACTAGATTTTTCAAAAGAAAATAAACCGAAAATCCATCCAAAAGATGCTCTAAAATGTGATGTATCATACTGCAACAAATTAGTGTTGTAAGTTATTGTTTACCCCAGGGTTGCTTCCACTCACTTACTATAAAAACATATTTTTCTGAATTATGCAATCATTATATGATATAATGATTTGTTGTACTTGTAACAAGTTGTAAGTAACAAGAAGAGGGTGTAAATTATGTGTATGATTCGTGAGCGTTCACTCAGAATGAGCGCTCACGAGTCGTAAAATCGCTGATTGTGACGCACTAAAGGCAATATTGACAGATTTGATGTGTCAAACACATACGTTTCTATCAGCGGATCTTACGATCGCGCATCTGAGAGCGGATCGAAAACATCGCGCATTAATAGAGCGGATGGGAAAAAATCCCGCAGCGGATTTTTTGATCGCGTGGACCCGAGAGCGGAGCATAGAATTACGACTGAGAGCAACCTTAGTATTACTAGCATAATCCCTCTTCTAGCGAAACACTCACGCTAATTTGAATGTTTGCGCTTGTAATTTAAGAATAATACAAGGTATTTAAAACGAAAACAAAATGGCGAATGATGACAAATATGTTCGAGTGATTGACGAACCAACCGGCCAACCAATGTTCCAATCGATAACCAATCGACTCTGAGATGATGGATAACCGAGAAATCTCTAGTAGTGACAGTAGCAGCACCTCAGAGAGTGATGCTAGTGACTCTGGCAATCGGTGATAAGTTTGATCACCATTGCAATAGTTGGATAGTTGTGTAATTTTCAGTAGTTACTTATTTAAAATTAATATAGTGTTCAATTTTGCAGATTCGTACCTAAATTTCTAATCAATTGGCTTGTTTAGAATTAAATCCATCTGCTATTGACAGAGTTATATGTGGTCAACCTGACCTCTTTTCTTAATGCGGTCAATTTTGGTTTTATGTTGCCGTAATACGTAATCCTACGTAAAAAATACTCTTTACAAAATTTATGGTGGTCCTGAAAAGGACCGTTTTGTCGTAATGTTTGATTAGTGCTGAGCTATTAAGGTGTTTTACGCAGATAAGGCTGGCGAGCTGTATTTTGTTTGGAACGGTGACGCGCTTGGAAAAGATGGCCCACAGCAGCTCACGACGAGCAACTGAAATCCGATCAGTAGCGGGGCAACTTCTTCCTCCTTATTCGACGAATGGACCGCTCAGTGGGCTGCAGCTCGCGCTTGCGGGCAGCCTTTCGTCGTGTACTGGAGAACAATCTACTACGTCACGCACCGAAAGCACTGCTGCTGCTGCTGATGATGACCACTGGACACCACCACTCACCACACATTCGGTGAGACCGGAGTTAATTCGATTTTTGAATCAGTGTCAGGGAAAGCGCTTTTCGCAGTCAATTGGTGATAATTTTCATTATTATAGCAACAGTTGCACATTCGTGCAGAGTTAATATCCTTCCGCTATTGACAAAGTTATAAGTGGTCAAATCCTGAGCATTTTTCGTAACGCGGTTGATTTTGGTTTTTTGAAATTGTACCCCCAATATGTTGCCGAAAGACGCAATCCTATGTCAAAATACCCATATTGATGGGTCAACAAACCACCCTGTCTTTGGTTAATGGAACAAATATTAGCTTATTCTTTATTTTATGAGTGAAGGGGAGATATGCTTCTCGGTGCAGTGTGCTGAACATTCAGCACTATCGCAGGGACTCGTAGTCAGCCATGATGAGCGTTACGAGGACAACGAACTGGATACTGCATTCTCGTGTCATTCAATCTCCAACCACCGTGCGCAGATTCCGGCAGATTCCTTTCCAGCTGATGGTCAGTCATTCACAATATCGATCAATGTAATTCAAGCTGATGTATGAAATAATGATGTAATAGCAAAAAGCAGATACAATATTATATCAGTTGATGTAATTTTGTTCGCAAAATCGATGTACACCGTACAACGTTATATTACACAACCGATGGATTGACCTGGTTGCAGCAGTTTGGATGTAATATTCAACAACTTTTTTTTCTGTGTATATCAATTGTGCATAATGTCTCGTGACAGCCACTTGGGTGAGCTGAGGGATGTCGTCGGTTTGAGAAGGCTGTCATGACGATAGAAACATTGAAAACCTGGTCATAAAGATATGTATAAATACAGCCCATTCGGTTCACTACATTCCAAGCACGATGATTTTAGCAAAGTGGGTATAGATGTGACTGTTCTAATACAGATTTCATTCGTTCGTGCGTGCACTGTTGCCAATACACTTCGAATTCAGATCTGAACGTACGGTAGCAAGCGGTAGTGAAGCACACAAAGCAACAGTCAATTCAGGTATAAACCAACTGTCGTGAGAAGGCTGTACTATTTGTAAGCCAAGCCGTGCTCCGGCCAGCATTGAATTGGATTGTTGTGAAAGAACAACTAGCGTTACTTGGCTCTTTCACACCAGTGCAAGTCGATGCCGACCGGATGACGGCAGCCCAGTTATGCTGCCCATTGCGGGAAACCTTTCCTCCGGTGGATGTAGATGCATTCGTTGTCGTCTTCGTATTGGTGCGATACGTGCTATTCCACTAAATGTCGTGTTCGACGCTTATCCGTCCGTTTCTCGAAAGAAAATGACGAAGAAAACGATTTGGCAAGCGTTTTTATGACCGCTGCTTTTCTCCTTCCTCCCTTTGATTGGTGAGCGGTGAACCGAGCATTTGCGTAATTTTTGAATAGCCAATAGCGTGCAGCGTTGGCCAAGAAAGACGGCATATTTATTACGTTTGTTTAGCAATGATTTCGATACGTTGCGTTTTTTCCATGTATACTTCTATGCAACTTCTATTATGTTGAGTAACAGCTTCATAAATCATCAATTGTCGATTACTTTTTCGAAGGGACGTATCTGCACTTATTATTGTTTTCTCAATAACGGCGCCGGTGGTGTAGTGGTAAGCGTGATTACCTCTCACCCCAGCAGGCCTGGGCTCAATCCCAGTCGGCGCTGCCGGGATGTTCTGAGGCATAACGAGGCTTATTACGGATGTCACTTCACGGTGAAAACTTGTCACTTGTCGTCACGGTAAAGTGATTACCATTTGATTTGTACGGCAATCACGGCTCTTATTATGAGTATCACTTCCTTATCACCGTGTAGTGACACCCGTAATAAGGCCCAACATCTCTGATCACGCCTTCCTTCGGAAGGGAAGTAAAGCCGTTGGTCCCCGGTTCATGAGTTGATGGGTCGATAGGTAGGGTCCAGGTGTGGGAGCTGCCTTCCTGGCACGTCGGTAGCATTGGTGCTCAGCACGGAAAACAAGATCGACGGAAAAAAAAAACAAACCAAAGAAAAAAAAATTGTTTTCTCAAGGTTTTTTGATGCGTATAACGTGGTAATGATTGAAAATGGATGCAATCATAACGAAGTGAGAATCTTGCTATCGCAATATAATGATGATGACATCGATCATTCGCTTCCCTCGGCTGATCATCAACGTCCACGCTAGTATATGTCATACTGACACCTGTCATTTATTGAGCCCTGGTGGTAAAGTTGGCCGGGGACTCCCAACATTTTCAATGTGCACTCACGAGATAGCACTGCGATCACATAAGGGTGGCGTATCCATTGCCTTGTTCGAGGAATTGATTTGTGGGATATCTTGTTAATGAAATATCTTTGATACAATGTAATACATTTTTGGTTTGCGTGTACAACATCATTTTTAAAGCAACACTCAAATTGGTTTTTTAGCAAGACACATTCTTTTACATGTTCATTATGTTCTGCAGTGTTTCTTCGAATAAATTCTAACATCCTCATCACGAATATGAAAATCTCAATGTTTATTTACATGTCATTCAGCCAGGGTATCAAAATTTAGCTAGGTGTACTATGATTAAAATCAGTGGTGGAAGATGATTTTTTTTCTTGATTTATTTTCCGTACTGAGTACCAATGCTACCGACGCCAGGAAGGCAGCTTGCACACCTGGACCCTACATATCCTCCCATTAACTCATAGACCGGGGACCATTACGGAATTTCCGGGGGCTTGATCAGAGATTTTACCTCAAAAATTCACGGCGGCGCCGACTGGGATTGAACCCAGGCCTTTTGGGGTGAGAGGCAAAATCATGCTTATGCCGCGGAAACACTTGGATGACAAACTACCCGAGCAAAGTCTGAGATCAAATTGAAATCTAAATTTGATGTTGTGATTTCGCTGATAATGATTGCTCATGTTGCTGTAGTTTTGGTCCTTTTAACGGTTAAAATATCAAAATTGAGAGCAAAAAAACCCTTGAACTAAGTATCGTAGAATTTAGTGAAATCGTACAGAAATTATCTCAGCAGTCCATAAAAAATATAATCTGAATTATCCACACACATTTTCATGGTTTGAGAAAATAGCAAAAAAAAAATCAGGAATAATCATTTTCCTAAAAAATACTTTCTTGCATGAAAGTTTCTTATCTTACACTGGTGAAAATTTCAGAGTGGCGTCTCTTACCATTTTTGACTTGTGGATTTTTAAAGTATTTGAAGTTCGGGAATATTGAAAAAATGAAATAAAATTTTCCTGGCAGTTAATGTTTAGTTCATTACTCAGAACTGGCATGAGACACCACTTTGAAATGTTCACAAGTGGAAGATATTTTTTCTATGCATGAAAAAAAAAGTTGGATTAATTTTCATCTCTCAGAAAATGGTTTTTTACTTTTCTTTATGATTTTCCTCCATCGTGAAAATTTTCGTGGGAAACAGATTATATTTTATATGAGTTGCTAAGATGATTTCCTTATAATTTTATTATACAACATTTGTTCTACGATGAGCTATGACTTTTCAAAATAAGAGATTCCAAAAACGTCAACTAAAGTTTTTCTCGGATATTTTTTTTTTCATTCATGTGATCTCATATAAACTCTACCGTGGGCGAAATTTTATATCATCCTGGGAACCTTCGCCCCATTTTGACAGACAATAAAAAAAAATCCCATTGGGCATATCAGCCATCATGACGGTCGTTCGTGGACTCGTCAAGGAAACACCTTAATGGAAGTGAAAAATCAATGTTAAAAACTTGTTTTTGTTAAGGTACACATAGACTTGTTCAAAGTGGTAAGGGAGCATGCATTAAATACGCATGCATGGAGAAAAGGCTTAAAAATACGATGTTGTTGTCTGTATCCCTTACCCCGGCCTACTGTGGTATATTTCACCAACAGCTCTCAAGAAACGGAAAGTTCATGAAGTTTCAGAAGCTTCTTAAAAAATAAGGCTCGAAATAAAGATCAATTCTTCTACTATCGCGGAACGCTGGGAAACGTTTAACTTATCCGAAGAAAATTTGTTTGCCCTGCAGCAGTGTAATAATAATGTTCAAAATGACAGAATGTAGGCTTCCAGCTCGGAAAATGTGTCAGGGAGTAACAGAAATATTCCACGGTTCCAAAGTACCGCTCCAGCGATGGTTTCTGGAGGAATATGCATGTGCGGCAAATTACATCGGTTTTCATAAAAAAAAGTAAGTTATTATTATGAAAAGGTATTTTTGGAGAATGTTGTCAAACCAAGTGTGATTGGAAAAGATCATTATGTGTTTAAATAGGATGGAGCACCCTCAGTCGAAAGTCAGAAAGCCGTGCGTATCACCTGTTAGCATTTGGAAAACGTCAGAAGCTAATCAAACAGGTTGAAGACAGGGTAATTCCAAAACATATGCTGTAATTGATCAATATTATATTGCCTTTCAGTTACTACAATCATTTATAACATCTGAATTTTACTCATGCGATAAAATACAGTTTGAATTTAATGAGAAAATATTGGGCTCGGTGTATATCTGAATAAACCAAGTATAAACATATTCTTCGTAATCAAAGGTTTTAATAATGTGGAAATAACGCAAAAGAGTGTAGCAGCCACTGCGTACTAATCCGACTTCACACAAGGAACTAAATTTAGCAGTATATTTCGGATTAAATGATCGAAAGGACTGCTAACCTGAACTGGAGATCAAAGTGAAATCAAAATTTGTTGTTATGATGTAATTTTTTATTACTCCAGTTGATCTAATTTTGTATGGATTAATAATGGTTAACACAGCAAAAATGAGAGCAAATTTTACACTGTTGAGTCAAACGGAAAACTAATCCTGCTTTCGATTAAATCAATTTAATTAATGATTTTGCATTCATAATATTTAACTGAATACGGGCATACATAATGGTTAGCATCTATGCTTCTCACGCTTTTGCACTTCGTGTATGTACATGGACCAGGGCTGTTAATCGATAACCGTTGATAACGTCTGTGTAACCGCCTGCAATTCAAATTCACCATTGCACGTTATCGACGGTTATTGATTAACAAACCTAACATGGACACACGCATTCACACGATCGTCAAATTAGTCTATGGGTGGTATCATCGACGGCAATCGAGTGCCAGAGAGGCAGAACCTATCGAACCCATCAACACATATGTAGGGACCAACGTGGTCTAGACATTGACGTCCATACTTAGCAGCAAATTATAGAAATCTTAATCAAGTTTAGACTTTACTTAGAGGAAAATATGGTTTAAAAATATTTTATTTAAAATACGGCAATAAAATAGTTGCAGAAAAGAGGCTGAAGAACATTGAAAAAATCTACTTATTGCCAAGATTTATAGAAGCCACAAATGACCGGTATCATGGCTGATTTTACAAGGTAAATCAGTCATGACAACGGCCATTTGTAGATTCGGTCAACCTTTGTAGTTAATACCTGCAGAAAAAAAGTTTATAAAAGCTATGCCTCAGGTGGCAGCCATACCACGATTAAATGGAGAACAACTGCCCGAAACCACGATCCCGAAAATTATCAATTTCCGAATACCTCCCTTCATGTTCTGAAATTTCAACTGCTGCCCTCAACTTAATGTATTTTACTTCAACAGTTCATTGACCATTTGCATTTGTATATTCTGTCGCAATTCGTATAACGATCACTGGACCGGGAATCGAGCCCACAACAAACCGATGTGGAAGTTACATCTCTCTTAGGTCAAGTAACAGCGTTCTACAATCCGTGCCTAATTACTTATTGCGCTAGATTGGATCGACTTTAGCACAATGATAGATTATACTCACATTATCCAAATGAACATAAGCACGATCACATAATTTGTTGACTTTGAGATTCAAGGGATCACGTTTTAGACTTTTGGGGATCTCAGTTTCATAAACAACTAAACCAGAGTGTTGATTCAGTGCTTCAAAACCCAAAGTACGCTCTGCTCTAAACGAATACATTGCAAGTGCCTGTCGTGCTTCCTGTGACAAAAGCGTACCAAAGCGATTCAATTTCACCGAGGAAAGCTTCATTTTAGGGAGTTTCTCTGGCACAGGCACGCCCGGATCTGGAAGAAACTATGAAGAAGATGAGCGTTATCTGAGACCATTATCCATCAAATATCTAAACTACCTCTAATATGACATTTCTGAGAGCGAAGTACTTTGGCGTTGGATCACCTGCCTCATCAAGGGGAGCATCGTAATCGTAAGACGTAATATCGGTGTTGAACCGCCCAGGACCTCCTTCGTTTGCACCGGCAGTGAATGCAAAGTTGGTTCCTCCGAAGAACATGTAGAAATTGACGCTAGCTCCTTGTTTGAGCATTTTACGTAATGTGCTTACCACGGGTTCAGTTGCAACCCGAGCCATTGGTTCCATCCAATGTGTAAGCCAGCCGGGGTAAAACTCCGCGTTTACTAGAGGTCCTTTGGGCTGGTATTTGCGTAGTTGCTGCCAGGGACGATCAAGACTGTCAACTGTAAGACAATAAAAAAAGTTACCTGCTATTATATATGTCTTGAGCACTATCAAAAGTGAGTCAAAACCAGAAGGTGCATGGGCTTTGGTTACCAGGCGAGGAACTCCTATGGCCAGCCATATCTGAGTAGTATAGAAAGATGATGATTCACGTTGCCGAGTGGAGACTTTGGAAGCAAAATGGATTATACTTTTCTGTCGCTGAAATCGCAAGATGACATATTTGATCTTTCAAGCAATATTTTTCGCATAATTTCATTCGGTGCACGCTATGGTAGCACTTGTTTGAGCCTATTCTTCCACAAAATTCGATGAAAGATCTGAAAATTCTGTAATCAAGCGATTTTTTTCAAATATAGGATAACAGTTCAAAATTAGCTCAACATTTGTGCCTCTAAAGCTCTCTGCTTTATCGAGCCAATATTTTGAGAAAATCAGAACTAAGTACCCTAATAAAAATAACAATAAAAGAGAGCTTAACGACGTGTTCGGGGTATCATCCTAACCATTTGTGGGATAGTTTACCCATCCGGGATACAGTTCGTTTATGGTGTTTGTTTATTAGGGTAGTCTAAAAATGTTTATTCTGTAAAGAGCGACGCACAATGCATCGGGATCTAATACGTTCTGGTAAATCGGACAGTTGTTTCAAATCGGGATGCACTGTGCGCCGCACAGTTCTTCTAATCGTCAAAATCAACCAATCAGCGACTATAGGCGTGGTTGAGCAAAATAATCGAAACTAGCCAAAATTTTGTGCAACTTTAAAGTGCCACAGTTCCATGAATAATTAACCGATTTTGACGAACCTAGAAGCATTTGACGGGGGACGGGGAACTATTTTAAGTTTTAGTCGATTGGGCAGTGGCTACCGGATATCGAAGATGTTCCAGATGTTTGCAATTTTTCTGCCACTGATAATTTTGGGATGTAGGATAAAATACAGAAATATTATATTTTTTCTCAAAAATAAAGGTTTTCTTAGAACTTACACCCCTAATAAAATTTATATGGTTATTTTGCTTAACGACGTGTTTAGGGTATGATCCAAACCATTTGCGGAATAGTTCAATCATTTGGGTTATTGTTCGGGTATGGTATTTTTTTATTAGGGAAGTCAACTGTAGGTAGAAGATCTTAAATCGACTCATAAAACAACTGAGATACGACCACATATGACCATTTTCTGGGATTTTTTTTCTGGTTTTTCTCAAAAAATGTGGCTATCAAACTTCTTGATTTTGCAAGGTGATGTCAATAACATTTTGACCACCAATTGCTTTTGTCACTCTGTGGTATTTTCCGAATACCCTCGGGGAAGCAGCTAGAACTTGAATAATTCCAAAACCGGTCTTACGACGTTTCAAACAGAACCCTTTCATGGTTTATTTTTAATCTTAAGGATCACATTTGGCTACATCCAAACATATTCTAAATCAGGTCCTGATCATTCTCCCAAAATTTGAGCTCATTTGGTTGCGAACTCATACTGCACTGGCCAGTGAAGTTTATATGGGAATTATGTAAACTTTTACTTGACGCAATCCCTATCAGATGTGGTCTTTGATTGTCCAAGATTTGAAACAGTGCAAAGCGAAATGCTTGAGTGATCATCAACACAGATAATGTGGTACAGGAAATGCTTAGACAACAGATTGAAATGCCATCAGCAGGACAGTTATTCTGATATTGTCAAAGCTTCAGATCTGGAGATCGAGATCAGTGATCGACCAACAACGGCTAGCAGAGACAAAGACAGCTGCGTGAGCTTAACCTCTCCCTAAAGGAATACTTTATGGTGGCCCCGGTGGGGCAAGGCAAGTAAGGAGTATTTAATAGGTAAAAATCTCTCATACGGGAATCATCTGGTTTTCAAGGGGCCCTTTTGCTGCTTGATATAGCAAATCACTCACACACACATACTCAAACTCACCTGATCCAAAATCAAGAGTAGCAAATACATCAGGAATTTTGCCACAAGGTAATTGCTCTGGTCCATCGTTCGTGAATAGCACGGCATCGTTCTGAATGTATCTCTCTGTTTGAAAATGATAAATATGTACATATATTCTTCACAAATTTTTTGCTTATTACCAGTCAAATTTTTGAGAAAGGATAAATAATTTCCGTCGCACGCAGCAAAAGATCCGTATTCATTTTCAATAGACACCATTATGACTGGTCCACCTCGACCGTACAAATGCTTCTGGATTCGTGGCATTAGAATACCATACCACTTTTCTACCTCTCGTAAGTAGTCTAAAAAAAATAACCATATTATCCATACGTGATCAGTTAAAATACTGGAAAATGACCTGTATCGTAGGTGCGCAGTCGAACATTCGGATATTTCCTAAGAAGCCAATATGGGAATCCTCCCATATCCCTTTCAGCACAAATGTACGGGCCAGGCCTAAGGATCACGTACAAATCCTCCTCTTCGGCAATCTGTATGAACTGTTCCAAATTTGCAATGCCATTCCATTTGTATTGTCCTTCCGTGGGCTCATGTGTTGACCATTCAATATAGCTATTTTTGAGGGAAAGTATATCTGAATCACAAAATCATCTAATTCAACGGACGATACGTACGTCATTACTGCATTAAGTCCTGCGGCACGAATTGAACGTAAAATCTGTCGCCAAGAGCCCGGCAAAGCGCGGAAATAATGAAAAGAACCGGAAACGAATCTGAACGGCTTTCCATCCATGAGAAACGTGTCATGTTCGTAATCGATTGTAAATGATCTCTAAATGGAAAATTTGTATCACTAATGTCCAGTTCATCATATATAACATCCTACCTTATTATCTCTAATATAGTCAGCTTTACATTGCGAAAATGCAATGGCTGCTAGTATTAAAAATTGAAGTATTTTTACCATGGTTGACCCCTGTAAACGAAAAAAAAAAACAAAAGTACGTTCAGTACCGTACATAGAAATATAACAGAGTGATTTTTTCTCTCTCTTCAAAAATGTTCAAAGAGCTGGAACTTTTCTGGATGTACAAATTTCGGAAACCTTGAAAAATGGTTGATCACATACTCAAGATGTATCGGTAAAGTTTTCGTTTGATTGGCTTAATCTTTCAGAAACTTGATTTTTTTTTGTATAGGGTGTCCCAGAAAATAACAACACACTTTCAACACATCACCATTTGTGTAACGATGACGTTTAGCAGCTTACACCCTGTTTGAAAAATTCATGTAATTTTCTGCGATATCTAGACACACGTTGTTAACGCTAGATTTAGCGTAAATTTACACGATATTTCATGTAACTTTAAGATATAGCTGATATGGCAGAAATAAGCAATGTTGTATACAAGCTGGCAAACGATTTCGTTGTCCATGCCAACTACAGCTGAAAATAAAACGAGGAAAGATTTTACGCAATGGTTAAAATTCAGAATTATTTTCTGTGTAGGTGCTTGGTGCGCCCTCGCTTCCATTTGTTTTCGGTGTGACTCGCCCTCGTTGATCTATGGTTCGGTTTTTGCGATGAGCATTGCTTTTGTGCAATCATCCACGGTTCATACAAATTTAATTTTTTTGATTGGACAATTGTTTACGCAGGGGGGAAGGTCAAGAATCCCAAAAAAACTGTCCACGTAGTTAATGACCATTCCCTACGCCTTTAACCTTACATTTTCCCAAGCGTTGAAAGACGAGTGGGCCCCGTAATCTCAAAGTCCACTGTTCGGTTCCAGTCTGCTCCGATTTATTTTTTTTTGTCTACATTATTTTTTATAAGGCAAATCAATGAAATTCATATAATTTTTTAATGTTTCATTTTTCGATCGTGTTGCAGATGCAATGGTGCTTGGTGTGCTCTCGTATTTCCCTTAGTTGCCCGGTATGCCTTCGATCGTGCATGATACATTATTTGTTTGCTGCGATGAGTTACACAATAGTTCGCGCAGAGATAGTGTGTTCGCAAACATATAAGAAAACGGTACCCGGCCATTTGGCCGAATGGGTCGTTTGGCCAAATGCCGTTTGGCCGAATACTTTAAAAGAGATTTCCAATTTTTGAACACTACTTGAACCTAAATGGCAGCCCTGTGGACTTTTTTTTAAATTTCCACTATTATGGTTTTTTGATAGTATACATAAATATGGGGTTCTTTAATTGAATTGTATATTGTATAAAACTGAAATTTTATACTGTCGATGAATTCATTATTTTTATAAAAATGATCTTTGAGTTATTTTTTTTGGTTTTTTTTTCTTGATTTGTTTTCCGTCGATCTTGTTTTGTTAGCTGAATCTCGGCAAGTTTTTAGCTCCAGCAAAACAAAATACCGAGCTGGTCGGTGGTGCCCATCTCGGCAAAAAATCTAATTGTGCAGGCCTTTTGGAGTGAGAGGCAATCACGCTTACCAGATCTTTATGTTAGGTTATTAGTATTTTTTAGTCACCCTTTTTAACATAAGCAGTTGGAGTTTTGATGATATTATTATTTGTTGCACAATAAACGCAGCTTGTACAAAAAATTCATTAAAAATTATTTTAACAATTTTTAGAGATTTTTCTTCTTTCAAACATGAGCAGCAAGCTTGCAAATGCTCATTACAGCTAAAATGCTATTTTTCGGATCTATGAAGCTATGAAATATTTTAATTCTTAATGACAAGATGCAAGAAGAGAAGGTAAAGTATTTGTATGATACATAAAACATGTTAATTTAGCTTTCAGAGGGTCACAATAGCGATTAGCTGTAACAATGAGCAACGTGATGAGTGAGCAATCAGAGATCATAAAATCGTTAGTTGTGACCTTCTGAAAGCAAAATTGATAAATTGTGTATGTCATACACAAACTTTACCACCCATTCTTGCTTCTTATAAATAAAAATTATCTTTATAGTATCTCATATTTTCATAATTCCAAAAAATAGCATTTAAGCTGTAATGAGCAATTGCAAGCCTGATGAGCAGTTCTTTGGAGTTTTGTTGTTCTAGTTATTTTTCGCACAGTAAGCGCAGCTTGTCATAAAATTAAGACAAATCAGAATTTAATGAAAATAGGAGATTTTTCCTTCTTTCAAACATGAGTAGTTCTTTGGAGTTTTGTTGTTCAGCATTCGGCCAAACGACCCATTCGGCTAAATGGCATTCGGCCAAACGACCCATTCGGCTAAATGGCATTCGGCCAAATGGCATACGACCCGGAACTACGGGTCGACGTCGTGCACTTCCGCTTTCGACCGTTACACAGTCCGTCGTTCGCCGTTGTGGTGCAAGCAGTGACGCTCGCCGTGCGGTCCAACCAGCGGCCGTCACACGGGTATCCGTTGCTGGCCATTGTTCTGCCTCCGCCTTCTGCCGTCGCCCAGTCCGTCGCTCGCCGAACGATCGCAACTACTACTCGTGCAGAGAAGTCGAAGATCGTAATAAAGAGAAAAGCGCACTGGAAGTCGATCCATTATTTTTAGCGGAGAAGATTCACATTCGGTGCAACTCACCCTCGTATGGGACGCTTCTTTCTCCTTCCACTTCGGTTGCCTTCCGTGTCCGAGCGATTCCCACGCTGTGACGATAACGTGCTAACATGTCTCGACTGAACAAGTTTAGCCTATGGGCAGTCCGTGTGAGATTCCGTTGGTTCGCGAGCTGTTGGTTCTTCACGGTCAGACCGAGCCGGAATCAAAACGTGCTGCCTGAGCCCGAACAAATTAATTAGCGTCCCCTCTGTAGAGTTTTTATTATGAAATTACCTTTTCCCACTGTTTCACTCGATCGAACCAGTACGTGCTGCGACCAAATCTTGTGGTTGGCGTCAGCCCAAATCGAATGGGAAGCCCAATACTTTACCGGGTGCGGAATGCACTATTTTTTCGGAAACTCGTGTCGGAACTTGCTGTGAGATGGCAGCGCCGGTGTCTTGTACGTGTGTGTTTTACCATCGGGCAGCACTACTTTTATCTCGCTGCTTTGTAAAGAGGCCTTTTCTCGATGATCGATTATTTGGTTCGACAGTTGTGAGGTGTAATTTGAATTGCCCGTTGGTGGAGCTAGTGCAGTTGCTCTTCCTGCTTCTATACTAGTTTATACATATTTCAAACAAACTACATCGTAACAATATTTGGAGTCCCTGAAAGTTGTACAGTGAGAATGATCGACCGATACATTGTGCAATTTCACTGGTTTTCCGATCAATCACGGAGTAGCAACCATTGATATGTACAGTCAGTCTAAGCTAAGCTAAGTTAAGCTAAAAATCTTGCAAAATGGTTCTCCATTCCCAACGTGTCACTCAGGAATTGGAGAAAGTGGAATAAGTAGGCATCAAAGTAGCCCGAACCACCATCCGGAAGTCTTATGAGGTATAACCTTTCTATCTGGCCGAAAACAGGAAACTGTGAACCGAAAGCTGGACTGGATGTTCAAGATTTGGCTAAAAACTGGGAACATCGACAAGTAACGTCCATCGTGCCATGGCAAGAAACGGTATAAAGACGTTCAAGAAACAGAAGAAACCGAAACAAGAACAGGCCGCATCCGACAAACCGAAGGCTCGGATGTTGTTTGATAGAATGCTGTGGTATTGGGTGCTAAAATGTAGTACTTTTCGACACTGTTATTTTAGTTAGGAAAAGTAGGCCATTATGTCATTCAAAACTGTGTCGAAAAGTGACACTAAGTCTTTTCAGCACTGAGTGCCAAAATCGATGGTGGTTTGATTTGAAGCCAAATTTAATTAAAAAAAGGGGAGGAATATAGCTAATGAAGAATAGAAACATGCAGTGACAAGAAGGTCCACGTTGAGTGACTCGATTGACATTGAATCTAACCTCCAAAATCTACGACGCAGTTTCAGTTCCATTGTTGTGTGTATGTGATTGCCTATAGTTTTGCGCATTCATCTTCAACATATTCGCCTCAGCGGTTTTCATTGCCTTCGGGGAGCCCGGTTCTCCAAGCTCGGATACCACACTTTCAGCGTGTAGTTCTATTGAGAGATTCGTCACCGTGGGCTGAATCAGCAAGTTTTTCGCTTGCAAAAGTGCTCGGCTGCTGATCTCTCGCCGGTTTCGGAGAAAGATGCCTCGCTGGATACGCCCAAGACTGGACGAGTGTTAGCTGGTGGCCACGAAAGCTGGTGGCTGGGGAAAGCACTAGACGCGAACCTCCTCCCAGATGACCATGGCAATGCAAGAAAATGTGTGTTAGTTGAAGGAAGTATTACGACAAAGGTAATTGCTATTACAGGGTTGGTAGCGGGTCACTTTTTAGTGACTACCCTAATAAAAATAATAATAAAATAGAGCTTAACGACGTGTTCGGGGTATCATCCAAACCATTTTTGGAATAGTTTACCTATCCGGGATAAAGTTCGTTTATGGTATTTGTTTATTTAGGGTAGATCAGTCACTAAAAAGTCACTTTTTACACCAAAAAGTCACTAAAGTAACTATTTCCCTAAAAGAGTCACTAAAGTCACTTTTTCCCATGTGGAGAATATCATCAAAATGTTTAAATTGAGTTCTTGGCACTAAGGAAGTCTACTGTAGCAATATGCATATCTGTCTAAAAATAAACAATTATAACCAGGGTGACCGCGAAAATTCAAGGAATTTTAAAACCGCGGGGGATAAACTGCGAAAAACCTTGAAATCGAGAATATCTTCCTTTTTCCGAAAATAAATTCTGAACCTTGGAAACTCTTCAAGGATACCTAGATTTTCAGAAGTCTTAAAAGATTTTTAATGAAAATTTCAAAGAAAATTTGAAGAAAAATTCATAGGAATTCTAGGGATAACACCAAAATATTCCAGAGAAGAATGTCATACTACATACTAAGAAAGTGTCATGTAAATTTAGGTGCTCTAAGGGCCGATTTTTTCACCTCGGCTTAAATATTAAACCAGGTTTAACCATAAGTTAAAACTGGTTTAAGGCTTAAGCCGAGGTGAACAAATCGGCTTAGAGTCTGACACATACGAGCATCACTTTTGATATTAAATGATTAAAGCGCAAAACAATTTTTGGATGAATTCCAGGAGCATTTTAAAGAGAGTTCTGAGAAGCATTCTATGACGATTGGATGAGGATTCTTGGTCCAAATTCTTATAAATATTTAAAATAAGTTGGGATACTTTTTTAAGAGAGCTCTGATGAGAATTCCAAGGAAATCCCGTGCGCTCAAAAAGGTCTCCAAACTCAGCGGATAGCTGTAGAGGAATTATGGTGCGATTTCTGAGATTGATTTTTGTTTTGAGAATTCTGAGGAAATACTAGGTTCCTATGTTCCTAAAAAGAATAAGAAATGCAGGGTCTAAGAGCACTCAGATAAGAAATTTGAGACATTTCTGAGGTTAATTGCATGAGAGTTCTAAGGAGAATTCAAGTAAATCTAAAATGGATTTTGGAATGAACCTTCAGGGAATTCCTGGAAGAAACATTAAAACTTCTAATTTTGGGGATTGTTCTGCAGAGAATTTCAAGAATGCAATATTATTTTTGTTCAGCTTATTTCAGAGGCAAGCTTAAAAGAAGAGGAATAGCAAATTATCAAGGTTAACTTACTTAGATATATACATTTTTTTAAGATTTCGAAAGCAGAATCAAATTCGATATCTAAGAAAAATACTGCTGTTGTAGTAATGATCTATTTAGCCCTGTTTAACCTAATGGCTTTATTGGTTTATACGTTAGTTTAAATCTATATTGCACAACCTGTAAAAATTACAAAACTCCAGAAAATCCGGTAAATTTCAAATTGCTTCTTTCTGGTCATAATGTATAACGTAATATTAAAAAAAATGTTCAAATCTCTTCCAATGTTCCTCATATGAGATTCTGTTGAGAGATTCGATATAATTAGTGGAATATATTAAGTGTAATTTTAGGTTCCATGACAAAAAACTGGAGTTTATTTCAATATCAAACCGTATTTGAATTTCTGAGTCACCATATAAATGTCACTATTGGTTACTTATTTATTATTTAAAAGTCACTATTTGGTCACTATTTCCGTATTGTTAGTCACTAAAGTCACTACTATTATATCGCATAAGCACTACCAGCCCTGCTATTAGATATTTAAAATTGACCATTAACCCCTGAACCTATATGAATTTTCGCGTATCTCTGTTGTTCATTACATACCAAGCGAAATCTCATATTTTGTCGTGGAATGTTGTGGTTTTTAGCATAAAGCATAAAGTTGAATTGTTTAAACCATGAATTTCGGAAAGAGTCTATGCGTGATCCATTTTGATAGACATTGCTAGTTGCTTTCTGGGACGTTACTTCATTTGAATAGCTTTTGTTAAGTCGGTCGTAGATTGTGGTAGATCGTAGGTTAGAACCCAAGCACCTTTCACTATTGAGCGTAATGAAATTTGGTTAAAATGACGGGTACGTAAAAGAAGTAATATTTGAGTTGTAGGAAAGATGTATTGATTGGAAATCCATATCTAATTCTTCTCAAGAGCAATTGTTGTCGTCGTCGGTGAAGTTTATTTATCGTAATTGTTTTGTGATATAAGAAGCTCGGTGGCCTAGTGGCGACCGATTTTGCATACTGAGCTGAAGACCGTGGTTCAAACCTAAGCTCCTTCATGCTAGTGAATCGTTCGAACATCAATTCAGCATATCGTTTACCAAAACAAATCCTTCTGCATTCCCAAACCTTTTATCCAAGATCCGAAAGATTTCTCGGGATAGTGCAAGGATTTCTCGGCTCCTAACATAGCGGGTATCACGTCAACACATTCCTTCCCATTCCTTTCTTGACCTGCGTTCGGGCGCGGCCGGCGCTGGTATTGCCTAGTTTGAGATCACCAGTTTTTACAAATTGAGTCCCAAGCATCATCTATTGGTTCTTTGTGTAATTGCAGACAGTGTGCTTAAGAAAGTTATTTAAGATATGGTCAAAAATTTCCCAAATAATAGACTTCAGAAATATATGGCTAATTAGTTGGCCATTTTCAACCAGCCCGTCAATTTCCGACAAGCGCTTCCAATAATTTGATATTACGAACACGCAAAATTCAGCATATTTGTAGTTCTGTGTCATAATTTCAGCTCAATTGATCATAACAAAACATAGTTGCAACATGCCAAAGTTGGCTAGTTTTTATGAAAATCGGTCTATTGCGCTAATTTGAAGGCCACCACTGTAGGTATCAACAGTATCGAGAGTAACAACAACGGGGTTTTCCAAATCAAGTTTGCAAATGTTCATTACAGCTAAAATGCTATTTTTTCGGATTTATGAAGATGCAAGAAGAGAAGGTAAAGTGTATGTATGACACATAAAACCTGTCAATTTAGCTTTCAGAAGGGCACAATAGCGATTACCTGTTACGATGAGCGAGCAATCAGCGATCATAAAATCGCTAGTTGTGACCTTCTGAAAGCAAAATTGACAAATTTTATACGTCATACATAAAGTTTACCACCTCTTCTTGCTTCTTAAAAATAAAAAATAAATCATTATAGTATCCCATAGTTTTATAATTACGAAAAATGTAAAATGTCAATGAATGAGGAATTGCAAGCCTGTTCCAAATATTGCCATTTCAGGGAAAACATTACGACGCAACTGACAGCCGCAGCATGCTATTAAAGTTGATAATATGATAAGACAGCAAAAAAAGGTGATCCACTTAATTAATTATGGTATCCATGACATGGAAGATAACCTTTTTTTTTGCTGTTTTATTTAAGCATTCCGCTAACAACCCAATTTCATTAATTCATGATAATATGATGCCAAATGCTATTTTTTATCTGAATTTACAATACATTTGATTATTTTTTTCATTTCATGGAGTTCGATTCCGATTTTGTCGGATTAACGAGGGGAAACGGTAAAATCAATTTTGGTCGATTGAACACCCAGATTAAGTCTGTGGTGGTGATGGGATTCTTCAAAATATCCCAATAATTTACCTGAATGGAAATGTGTAATTTAGTTTAAAAAATACACATTGCTGTAGTTGAAAAATCATCTTTCTAAAATTACTGAACTTATCAATTAAAAAGAAACTTTGTACTTTGACCGTTGGATTATTTTTTCTGTGCCACTCGTAGCCACACGTGTTTACACATATTCGCACATCTGGTTCCTTTTATTTAGTGTGAAATTAATGAGAGATGAGACAAATCTATGTTTCACTCGCAAAAACTAAATTCAGAAGTAAGAAAGAAAGTCTGTAATTAAAGTTTTGTTGATATTCTATGTTTCTCATCACATGCAGAAAACATCCGTACTACCGTCAGGTTCGCTTCTTCTTCTATGGAACAGTTTTTAAGCCAACGAAGCATTATCTTCTATGCTTGTATGGTGATTGATGATGATGGCGAGTGAGTACTTTTGATAGTGGTCAAACTTCTTGGAAACGTAATCATATAATGGGCTTTATGCAAAACATACGAAGTGAAATGTGTTTGTTCAATATTTCAGCACCAATTAAAAATTGTATTTTGTACATCCAGATGCTACGTTTATCTTGGAAAAATAATAGAATACCGGAACCCAAGTACGTGATATTTAAATTTATCAAATTGAGCTTGATCTTTATAGTTGACTAAAATAGATCATCCACATTCCAGTGTGTTCAATATTATTCACTACTTGTAACATTCAATTTTCCCTACAGATTATAAGTCTATTTGAAATTTTCAATCAAGGTTACGGATCACTATATGTTTATTATCCACCAGACCGGTGTTTTAGTTTTATTCTGCTGCAGCCCTTGTACATATATGATCAATTACATAAAGCACTTATTGTTTGTTACTGTATTTCTCGGTCACACCAAACAAGAACCTTTGAACAACTTTACCGGTCAACTACTGACACACGACTGTTCAATAGATAATTATGCTCGCTCAGACACAAAGCCGTTTCAATCGAAATTAAAGAGGGCACTAAAAGCGCTTCGTGTCGGCTGCAGAAGCGCGCAAAGATAAACGAACTGCGGGAGGCTTGGTACTAAACAGTGAGTAGAAAAATAAGCTGAATTAAAGTTTTCTTATCTGAAACGATTCATTGCTGATGTTACCGTAGTACCTTCATGTACGGTGAAATAGAAACCTGTTTAGTTGAGTAGAACAAAGGTGCTGGATCTTCTTACATTATTCCGTTAAGCATTAAGGTGTTTCCTTGTAGAGTCCTTTTTCTTTTCACACTTCGCAATTTCAAGAACATAAATCTTGAGATTTACCAAGTGTATAGCGAAAAAGGAAGCTACAAAGAATCACCTTAAGTTGATCCGCAAACCTGTTCGAATGGTTCGAAAAGAGGGAACGAGAAGAATTATATCTTAATACAAATGCATTCTAAGCAGAGGCATCTAACCGGACAGAGCCCTGATGCTGAATTCGATTCCCTGAGCAATCGTCGAATATTTTGACGATTTTCTATTGATTTGACCGATTACAATCATTTAACTCACTGTGAAAGCTTTGCAGTAGAGTTAAGATTCATTAAGATAGATTCGAATGATCGAACACCTAGCCTTCCAGGAAAAAAAATGTTTCTGCTGTTCCCGTATGGCAGATATGGGGAAAGTAACAGTATCTGTACAGCATCTGTTGTCACGGTGTCTCTGAATGAAAACCTTTTTTAAAATCAGTATCGCTGTAACACCCACCAAACGAAAGCATAGGTTTGCCCCTTTCATATGTGACTACAATCGCAATGAGGGTAGCACAATTTCGTTTTTTGTTTTTTATGTGTAAAGCACGTCCAATAAATGTATGGAAAATTAACATTTTGATACTAGCCTCAAATGAAAGATTAAAACTAGCCTCAAATGAAAGCCTAAGATTTCGTATGGTGTGTGTTTTAGTGATACTGTTTCATTTCTAAATAAAAGTTGTTCTGGTCGTATGATAACGAAGACCAACACACTTAAAATAGATTCTCGGACTGATCTGAAACGACAATTCATAATTTCGCTGATATTTTTTCAGAGATTGACCTGAAATTTCAGCAAATCATCTTTATGTAGTGAAACTTGGCAAAGTACACTGATAGGCAAAATAAAGTGCCCACCCCATCATTTTTGAAATTTCTCTCATTTATTTGGTTCAAATTCAAATAAACACACCGTAGTCTGTTTCGATGTCTTACCTTTATTATTCTTTTAAAGTTACACCTATGGAATACTGAAAATATAAAGTTTTACTTGAAGTAAAAGAAAATCAATTTGGATTGAAAAAGAAAACAGTGACAAAAAAAAGTGCCCACTTCAAAAATCGGTATGTTTTCGATAAGTTTCCATCGGAAAACCCCTCGATTGTTTTTGTTTTGAAAGTTTGACATGTATTGAAGCAAACGGGTGGAACTGGTGCATTTGTACACGTGATCGCATTTGAATCAGTTGAAAAAAATGGAGGACGTAGTGATTTCGAAAGCAATTCCCGTGTGTATCCGAAAATTGGTTGTTCGTGATGTGCAAAACGGTGAATCGCACCGGTCTGTCGCTAGGAAGTACAATATCAGCAAAACAGCGGTCGGGAAAATTCTGCAGAAAATGAAATCGTTCGGATCAGTGGTGGATCGCCCTGGCAGAGGCAGGATGCGCAAAACGGATGCGAGAACGGACACCAAGATCATGCGTGAAGTGAAGAAGAACCCGAAGGTAACTGTCCGCGAGATCCAGGAGGCTCTTCAGCTAACAGTTTCCAGTCGAACTGTTCGTCGCCGTCTCGTAGCACAGGGGTTGAACAGCAAAGTTGCTCGGAAGCGCCCATTTATCAGCAAGGCAAACAAAGTCAAACGGCTTAAGTTTGCTAAGGAGCATGCTGATAAGCCCCTAGAGTTCTGGAAAACGGTTCTCTGGACGGACGAATCAAAATTCGAACTGTTCAACCGGAAGCGACGGGTTCGTGTGTGGTGTAGATCGGGTGAGGAGCTTCAGGAGCGCCACATACAAGGCACGGTGAAGCATGGAGGAGGAAATGTGATGGTCTGGGGGTGCTTTTCGTGGGGTGGAGTGGGAAGCCTGGTGAAAATCGACGGGATAATGACGGCAGATTCCTACATCGACATCCTGCGGGAAAATCTGGAAGTTTCGCTGATCCAGACGGGCCTTGAGGAGAAATTCGTATTCCAGCAGGACAACGATCCGAAGCATACTGCCAAGAAGACTAAGTCTTTCTTCCGGTCATGTCGAATTAAACCACTGGAATGGCCTCCACAAAGCCCGGACCTCAACCCCATCGAGAATTTGTGGGCGATTCTCGATGCCAGGGTTGACAAAACTGGTGTTACCAATAAAAATAACTATTTTGAAGCCCTGGAGCGCGCCTGGGAAGAACTAGATCCACAGCACCTGAAGAATCTAGTGGAGAGCATGCCGAAGCGCCTGCAGCTGGTCCTGAAGGCCAAAGGAGGACACATTAACTATTAGGCTGGTATTCTTTTACTTTATTTTATGTTTTCTGGAGTTAAAATGCAGTGGGCACTTTTTTTTGTCACTGTTCTTTTTTACACCCATTTTGATTTTTTTTTCTTCGAGTCAGTCTCTTCTTTTTATCTGGTATTCTATAAGTGAAACTTAAAAAGAATATAAAGAATAAGATATAAAAAATACTACAGTGTATTTACTTTAATTTGAACCAAATAAATGAGAGAAATTCAAAAAATGATGGGGTGGGCACTTTATTTTGCCTATCAGTGTAAGTAGCTGAAAACATTAGCTTAGTTCAACTCTCACATCGACAATGTCATCAAGAAAACTGCCAAGAAGCATGGAATTCTATGTCGGTTCAAACACTATTTAACTATTACCAGTATAATACAACTATACAAGTCAATCATCTCTCCTCATCTGGACATTTTTATTTTTGGCTAATGCAACACAAATATTAAGATTACAGCGCTTCTAGAATAAAATAATGCGTTTGATTTATTTACTTCCTCAACTTTGCTGCTGGACGCTTTAAAATGGTTGTTCGTGAAGCAAAGAATTGTATCTTTGACTATGGTGTTAATTTTTAATTTTGCTGCTGTACTCGAAGAGAAAGTGAGTACTAGAAACTGAAATAAGAACACCACATTTCTTGACCGGTGCTTCACAAAATTCATTATATTTCTAAGGAATAAATGTTTCCACTTCAATGCTCAGATACATTAAACGTTCAACAACACTTATCGAATTTAAGAGACATTGAATTTCACACGCTAAACCAGTCTTTCGAACAGTTATCTAGTGAATTGACAAATTATGTATCTTGATGAAGTTATCTCTAACGGATTATTTTGTACGGATAGCTATCATAGTGATTTTTTAATAATCATTGTAGCACTGCAAACACTATTTTGTTCGCCACGATGGTGATGATGGATTTTCAATATTTGATTTGATAGTAGTAGTTAATAAAAAAAAGTTATTTTGAGTAGTCTACAAAGGTTTGAACCTCGCGTGCGTATTGCGGATATAGAGGATTGAATTTAATATTTGGTAAACAAAATGGAACTTTGAAGCTTATTTGGAAAATGCCTTGAATTTGTAGTAATTTTTCTGGCTGAACGTTCGTGAGCATTTCCCTGAAATAGCTGAACATTATGATAGCATTATAATATTGCGGGGTTGCTAATGTAATAGGATGCTTTGTTGATTATTCATGCACTCTTCGCTGTGAATATTTGAGGTGGACAAAAGGGTGAACAACGGAGTGAACGTCTAAGCCTTTTCACATTTATATCGCTTTTTCTAACTTTTTATTTATTTCAAATTCAAATTAATTTTATTTTATTTTAACCTAGGTGCTCCAGCTACAGTAACTTACCAGTCTTAATTGTTATGATACATCTAAGAGTTTTAACATTGTTCCTGCATTGGCAATTCAGTTTTTAAACAGTTTTTCTAAACCTGCATGTCCGTAGACAATTGACATCTTAAAACTAAAAACTAAAAACAAATCTTATAAATTAAAAAAAGAATAAAGGGAATTCATTGTTGCAATTGAGGATTGCAACGATGGAAGGTGATCATAACCGAAGACAGCATGGGTTGAGAGTTGACATAAATCAGTTAAGACCAAATCAATAGTTGAGGGATTTCTTGCTGAAGAAAAGCATATTGGGCTGTTTGGATATTGAATAGTGTAATAACCTGCAGAACAATCATCAAACAGAGTATTGGAATTGTTTTGAGTATTATTCCATGAGCGGTATTTTGTATTAAAATCACCAATAATGAAGAATTTAGACCTATGACGGGTAAATTTCTGAAGGTCACCCTTGAAAAAATATTTTGCTGGCCTACGCATTGGAATGGAAAATAGCTATAAACGTAAGTTGTCCAAATTTTGTGTCGACAGAAACTCCCAAAGTTTTTTAAGATGAACAGAAATAATTGCATGTTTTAGGACTAATTAAATATTTGTATCGTAAACCACATTTCAAACCTCCTTCTTCCCTTTTCCCATCCGAAAAATTGTAAATCTCCACTAACCTCGAGACAACTGCGAGTACTCGGTCCAGTTCCTTTAACTTTAAATATAAGACAGTAACAATGTATAACGGAAAGGATAACTCGGCTCTGTAAAGTTTATTCGATTGAGCCTGTACAAATAAAGTAATTATTAAAAAAAAAGAAACTCCCAAAGTTTCAAAAACTTTAGTTTCAAATGAAGAAAGAATCTGATGTTTGATACGTCTATGAACAATGATGGTAACGCCACCACAGGCTCCATCAAGACGATCATTTCGATAAATGAAATAATTTGCGGTCATAGAGTAAACTCTCATTAGGAATTCCATACAAAAATCGACCCTGGCTGAATCATGAATTTGACACATTAGAACACCTAGCTATACTCATCTTGAATCAAACAAGACAGGATTTAATCATACCAGTTGGAGCTTACCACCATAGTGATTAGTGATGATAAAAGTGCACCCAATACTTTCGTTGTCTACAACATCAATACCCATTAAATAACGATAACGTACAAAGCACGCGTGAAGGACCACAATGGATGATGAGCATACGGAGAAGTTTGAATGAGAATGATGAGCATACGGAGAAGTTTAATAAATAAGTATTGACTATTTAGTGCTAGATTGGCAAACAACTAAAGAATAATCAAAATCTGAATGCTGAGACATTCTATTGATTTTTATTTTATTTTATTTGAAAGATTTTTATTCGACATACACTCATAACCCTTTGTAAGTATGCTGCCCTGCACAATCAGTTGAACTTAGGTGAGCTATCAAATCCAACAGTCATAAACGGAGCCTTGACCGTTTGATACTCGACAAGTATAATCTCATTCATCGTACTTTTAAGAATATGCCGCGGCAAATAGAGCGTTATCTGCGGTCCCACTCGAGGCCAGTATCGTCCTAGGTTGAATCCATTGATATAAACAATACCTTTGCCCCACCCAGATGGGTTCAAGTAGGTATCGAGGATGTCTATTCTTGCAATGTCGAAGGTACCGTAGAATAGCATTGGACCATGGCGTAAGGGCGTTCCCTGATTAAACCTGCTACGTTTAAGTGGGTACCTACTATCCAATTGAATCTTTTTGGAAACATATTCGCTTATATCTTTTATATTGTCCAACGGTATTCCCGTCATGGTCCAATTAAGCACTTTTTGAGTATTGATGAAAACATTCCCAACTAAACCTTTGAAATCGTTTGGGGTGCCGAAGTTAATGCGGCCTTGATTTTCAACGATTATTTGTAGCTTTTCGCCCAATCCTAGAGTTATGGGAAGAGTATTGACTGAGTTCTGCCTAGACAGTGTTCCAATGAAATTCTGGAAACAAAGAAGATACATTATTAAACAAAATTACACTAATTACGTGTTAGGATTACCGTGTCTACAAAAACGTAACCCAGGTCGTTTACTTTTTCAACGGTCAATTTGAGAGGATCTGTCTTTAAATTGTCCGGCAAAAGTGCTTCATAAAGTACCAGTCCAGAATATTGGTTCAGAGCTTCAAAGGTCAGAGGGGTACTGTTCAGCACCTCAGGTGATGCGATTGCACGAAGGACAAGTTTGTTCATTAGATTATCAATTGGTCTCAATATGACAGAGGGGAGTGACATTTTACGAGCTGCAATAGTTACAATTGTGTTTTCTATTAATATAATTTGAGTAGGTACTTCATATTTGCTACTTACTAGGAGTTGGAATTGGTTTGCTGGGCATAGGAAAAAACTCAGAAATCACTTGACGAATAGCTTGGTATTTTGGTGTTGGGTTTCCCGATTCATCCAAAGGTGCATCGTAATCGTATGAAGTTATGTCCGGAATAAACCGTCCAGGGCCTTGTTCGTTAGCTCCTGCAGTGAATCCAAAGTTTGACCCTCCATAAAACATGTAGATATTGACATTCACCTTTGAACTTAGCATATGTCTATAACAAATTGTAGTTTGTTAAGTGTTTTTCAAAAATAAATAAATGGGATGTTTTTAATATTACCGTAATGATATTACAATCGGTTCAATCGGAACACGTGCCATTTGCCGTTCTTGCCAATGAGTCAGCCATCCTGGGTAGTATTCTGCATTCACTAACGGACCTTTCGGTTGGTGTTTACGAAGCTCCTTCCAGAAACCATCAATTTCGTCAGCTAAATAGAAACAATTATTTTGCGAAGCAACTTCATAAATAGAAGTTTTAACTCACAAGATCCAGCACCAAAGTCCAAACTGCATAAAACTCCTTCAACACCTCCACATTGCGTGAGACCTGGACCATTGTTTGTGAAGAGTACAGCGTTGCCTTTTACATATCGGTCTAGAAGAAAACATAAAAAAAAACTATAATTTTCTTTCGTCATGCAAAAGTATATTAACTTATACCGGTTTCATCCCGTAGCCATTTCATGTACTTGTGATCACACGCATAAAAAGATCCGTATTCATTTTCCACTTGTACCATTATTATTGGCCCACCGTTTCCGTAAAAATATGGCTCCAACCTTGAAAACAACTCTGCATACCACGTTCGAACTTCGCGCAAGTAAGCTGTAATATTATAAAAGAAAAGTTAAAATATCACAATCCTACCGAACAGTTTGTAAATCCGGACTTTTTTGTTAAATATTTCATCAGCTTTGCAACATAATAAATTTTGGTGATGATTGTAAACGATACTATGAAACCATGATAAAATTTACGAGCTATTTTGAGCATGCTCGGCATTCATAATCATCTTTTTCTTCATATAATATTTTATTAAATACAAGGTGAGTGTGCCCGGCCTTGCTCGGGATTCAATATTAGCTTGAGTTTATGCGCCGATTCAAAAAAGCATGCTGTTGGCGAGCCCCTCGCTGCCAGCGCACCTGATGTTACATAAACCTTGCACATACAACAGACGGTCGGAAAGCGGCATGACAGGTAACGTCAACGACTGTCAAAGGACAGCGACGACAGCGAAAATACACGATCCGACTAGACAGGGACTGAACGTAAGGGACTAAACGGAAATTATAATCAATCGTTTAACAACACCCACATTCTGTATTTCATTGCGGTGATTATTATTCTGGAAATAACCCTTGCAGTACCGTTGGTCCGAAAACCAACACCTTATAATTTTCGTTTATGTCGGAAATGTCGAGTCGCGATGCAAATGGTTCCGGTAAGAGAGGATAAGTTTCAAGTAAGGGTAAAACCGTCGAAAGTAAACTCAGAGAAAGTGGCTGAAAGGGTAGATGTGTCAATAGTAGTCACGGAAGCTACAGTGGAGGATCAAACCTTGGCTGGTCGGACTTGCAAATCCTGCAAAGGTGCAGATACTGACGAGATGGTTCAGTGTGATAAGTGTGACAAGTGGCATCACTTTGGCTGTGTTGGAGTTACGGAGGAGGTAGCGGACCATAGTTGGATATGTCCTAAGTGCGTTTCGGCAAAATGGGCACAGCGAACGGGATCTACTTCCAGGAAACGACTTCAACCAACCGGTGTCGCAAATGATAGCACGGAGATACAGGAGCATGAGAAGTCGTACAGCAAGGAGCAACAACGTTCCGAAAGCAAGAAAGCTGACGGAAGTGTGGCATCGAGTATCCAGTCGTCGTCATCCCGTAGATCGTCCAGGACCCTTTTGAAGCTACAAATGCAGCAGCTAGAGGAGAAAGAAAAGTTGGCGAAGCAGTTTATATACCTTCCGTTTGTAAACAACACTATGCCCATGACCATGAATCCCAATGATAACACGTCCGCACGATTGATAGATCAATTAAACTTTTCAAATGTTACGGCGATGAATTCAGATTCAGATTTGAATTCAGGTTCATTCAGTCAACAGTTGAATGATATGCGAGCAGAAATGCACTCGTTGAGGCAAGAGAATGGTTGAACGGGTTGATTGAAAATATGAGTGGACTTTCAATGATCCAAACATCGTGCAGTACTCCGCAGGAAAATCTTGGTCGAGACGTGAACACTTCAATTTTGGACCGTCGCAGCGTGAAGCGGTTAAAACATTAAAAGCAGCCCTATGTACAACACCGGCGCTGAGACTCTACCGTCCTGGTAAAATAACTGAACTTCACACAGCTAGCAAAATAGGTTATGGCGCAATACTGCTACAGAAAAACTTAGGGGAAAACGTGTTTCATCCCGTATATTTCTTCAGCAAGAAAACCTTACCAGCTGAAGAAAAATATCCCAGTTACGAGCTTGAAGTTCTGGCTATAGTATCGGCTTTGAAGAAGTTTCGAGTATTTCTATTAGGCATCCCATTCAAGATTGTCACTGACTGTGCAGCCTTCAAAATAACGATGGGCAAAAAGGAGATTTCTCCACGTATTGCGGGGTGGGCCCTGTTATTGGAGGAATACGATTACGAGCTGACACACAGATCGAGCGAACGCATGAAGCATGTGGACGCACTCAGCAGAAACCCAGCAGTATTTCTGGTGCATAGCAACGTTATTGAGCAGATTAAAGCATACCAGCAAAATGACGAAAAAATAGGAGCAATCACCAAAGCTTTGGCGATGGGTGATTATGCAGATTACTTCTTGGACCATGGAATCCTCTACAAAGCTTTCAGTGGAAGAAAACTTCTTGTTATACAGCAATCAATGCACCATTCAGTGATCCGACAAATACACGATCAAGGCCATTTGGCCATTTGGATAGATAACCTTTCAACGAAGTTGGAAAAATTCGTAAGAAACTGTGTGAAGTGCATTTTGGCGTCAGGAAAGTCGGAAAAAAAGAAGGGTTCCTTCATCCCATTCCTAAGGACGAAGTGCCACTATCAACATATCATATTGACCATTTGGGACCTCTCACTGCGTCAAACAAACAATATCGTTACATCTTTACCATCATTGACGCTTTCAGTAAATTCGTTTGGATTTATCCAGTCAAATCAACCACTACGGATGAAGTGCTAAAAAAACTCGACGCACAGAAATGTGTATTCGGGACTGCAAGGCGTATTATTTCGGACCGAGGTGCTGCTTTTACATCCACATCATTCCAAGACTACTGTGAAGCGGAGCAGATTGATCACGTTCTAGTAACGACGGGCGTTCCACGCGGTAATGGTCAGGTGGAATGTACATGGTGTTATAGTGCCCGCCTGTGCGAAGCTGACTAGCGGTCGTCCGGAGAACTGGTTCAAGCACGTAGCAGATTTACAACGATTTCTCAACAATACTGTTCAACGAAGTATTGGGCGAACTCCCTTCGAACTTTTGTTCGGCACTAAAATGCGCTCACCGGAAGATGTCAGACTGGCGGAAGCAGTTGAAGCAGAATGGATTAAGCTGTTCGAAAATTCCAAAGAAGCAGTCAGGATCGAAGCTCGGGCCAATATCGAAGAAGTTCAAGAGAAGATGAAGAAAAATTTCGACAAGAATCGAAAGGAAGCCGAAGGATACGAAGTTGGTGACTTAGTGGCTATCAGCCGAACCCAATTCGGTAGCGATTTGAAAATTGCAGCTAATTTCCTAGGACCATACCGGCTTACCAAGAAAAAGCGGAACGAACGAATCGAGGTTGTGAAGGTGGGAGCTCACGAGGGTCCGAACAGGACTTCAACGTGCGCAGAATATATGAAGCGATTTGTGCCGAACGACGATGAAGACGACTGCTACGATTGCGAAAGAAACGATGAACATGTATCAACGGGAGCAGAAGTACCAACAGCAACATAGTAAGTGCCATCCGGGACGGATGTGTTCCAGGAGGACCGAATGTGGAAAGAAAGTGTGGAACAACCCTAAATCCTATCCTTTGCGCTCTCACTCTCTTAAATATCTTGCCTTTTTACCATAAACTGCAGTGAATTCGAACTATACCGGCAATACTCAAGTGAAAGCGCAAATAGCCGGTCCTATTGCTACGATTCTTTGAATTTGAATAAATTGTTACTTGGAAGTCACGACTTGATTCTTAATAGTTATCCGAAAAGTATGTATATTATATAGTATATATATATGTATATATATAAAGATAGGGAGATTAGGGAACATCCATAGATGACCCCCCACCCTCCTTCGTAGCGTAGTTTGCTATACCTAATACATGGCCGGTCACAATTATTGAAACCCCTCTCCTCTTCAAATTATACGTAATGTATGCATGTTCCCTGCAATGAATTAAACGTATGATATTCAAGATCAGAATAATGAACCTCGAAGCAAGCGTCCAAAACTCTTTTTCATAAGAAATCGTATCAAATTATTACTTTAAATTTGTAAACCTGTGCATGGTTCTTATGAGTTGGATTTATTGTGCAATTTGACTTGATCAATCACGGAGTAAGCGGCGCCGGTGGTGTAGTGGTAAGCGTGATTGCCTCTCACCCCAGCAGGCCTGGGTTCAATCCCAGTCGGCGCGGCCGGGATGTTCTGAGGCATAACATCTCTGATCACGCCTTCCTTCGGAAGGGAAGAAAAGCTGTTGGTCCCCGGTTCATGAGTTGATGGGTCGATATGTAGGGTCCAGGTGTGGGAGCTGCCTCCCTGGCGTTAGTAGCATTGGTGCTCAGCACGGAAAACAAGATCGACGGAAAACAAATCAAGGTAAAAAGAAAAAATCGTATTAGTATCGTATAGTAACATTTTAAAAAATCTTGAAACACTTAAGGCCGATTTTGCAACTGTGCTTAAATCTTGAACCCATATAATAAAACCTGGGGTCCCCGGTAAAGGTTAAGAAATCAGCCCTTAGATTTCAGGTTCAAATCTATGCTTTTTTTTTTACTTATTCCAGGTGCGCACTATTTAAACTATTTAAAAATAAAGCCCTTCAGCAGGAGTGCTATGGTGATTTCCACGAACACTAATTTCAAACAATTATCGATGTACAATGCAGGGTTATGTTTTATTTGTTCAGATGGACATATGAACAACTCTTCACAAGTTTGCGAATTTCTGTGACAAATAATACTACTCATTGAAACGTTATATATCGTATAACGAATACAAGTTGCGTTGGTGGATCTCTGATACAATGTATACCTCGTCTAATTTAACATAGGATAATGAATGTAAAATTAACTCTAATTTGTTGTTAATGTTCCCCCAAATACAACATATCTAGATAGAGCTGGAATTAGGGCGTAACAGCCTTTGTAAACAATGACTTCTCTTGTTGATTTCTCGGAATTGAAGGCACGTCTACACAAACCAACATATCCATCGGGTAGGAGAAGTCTTCCTCTACTCGATGGTGATGTCGATTTGCCAGGGAGAGCCATGACTTCCGATAAATCATCGAGAGAAGTCATTGTTTACAAAAGCTGTTACGCCCTAACTCCAGCTCTATCTAGATATATTCGATTTGTGACAAATATACAGTAGTAACACACATCACTGTCACTTTTGAAACTTTCAAGAATAGGTATATAAAAATATAAAATTTAGAACAAAATAGGAAGTCATCGAGTTATTTTATTTATTTAATTGAGTAGTTTTTTTTCATAAAAACTTTATCAGTCACATTCCGAAAAAATCAATCAATTTAAACAAAAAATCATAAATGATAGAATCATATGGAAAGAAATACTGAGATTAAAAGTCTAGCCCACCAATTCTCAGAGGCGAATCAGCCAAAGACTGAAAATCTCTTTAATAAAGAAAACTAACTAACTCTGACCCGCCAACTGATATGCATTACCACATTTGGCCCACGATTTAAAAACGTTGGGCTGGCCTGAGACCTGCTAAGCCAGCATTTTTCTGTTGTCTGCTATTTTTTACCCACACACTTACAAGCAACGCAAAACAAACACATGCGACAGCTGTAAAATATGCAATACATCCGCAAAGTTTAAATGTGTTGTTCAAGCTTGTTATGTGCCATAAATTTATAGACCAGTTAAGAGGGTACTGTCAAATTTGTGAAATCCCATAGTGGAAATATTTGATTGTAGTCCCGTGCCTAGCTGAGACTAGCTGAGGCCCAAGTTATATTAGATTAGGTTTTACTGTCATACAGTTAAAAAATAAAGAAAATCAAAATGTTGATTAAGTGCATAAGTGTAAGTAACCAACAAAGTGGACATTCCGTTTTAATCTAGAAAATATATGACCTATATTATAATTCCTAAAATATTGTTCAACAAACAAATATACAAGATCATGAATACAGCTTTTCCATTTCAGAGAATAAAAGCTGAGTCTCTATTCACCATGTTTTATCGGAATAAATACACTCCATTCTGCTTTTACGCGATTTTCATTTTTTTTTTAAATTTGCCATGATGTATGATAGGAGCAGCATTTTTAATACCATAATATTTTCATTGATTTTTTGTGATGTTTTTTTAAACCGGTTGCATTAAAATTGGATTCAATTTGAGATCACACGGTCAAAAGTAGTGGTGAAAAAATCGCATAAAAATAGATTTGAGTGTAAATTAATGTAAGTACATATCGTAAATTTTCACAAATAATCACTTACCAACATCAGCCGTTCTTAATTGTATTCCGGGATACTTGTGGAGTAACCAATAAGGAAATCCACCCATATCCCTCTCGGCACAAATATACGGCCCCGGTCGGAGGATCACCAGCAGATCTTCTTCTTGTGCCATATGGATGAATCGCTCAATGTCGGCCATCCCTTCCCAATTATACACCCCTTCTTTTGGATTGTGTAGTGACCATTCCACGTATCTGAAATCAGTAGCGTGTAATATGATCTGTGGCACATAGAGACAATTTAAAATGTACGTACGTAGTTATTGCATTCAAGCCAGCAGCCCTCATCAATTTCAATATTGGACCCCATGACTGAGGCAAAGCTCGAAAATAGTGAAACGATCCGGAAATGTATTGAAATGGTTCTCCGTCTAGCAGAAATGTGTTGTTTTCGTAGTCAACCGTGAATGTTCGCTATAAATACAGTTAATTGTCAAATCTTCCGGATCCCGGTCAAGTGTGTATGTACACACTTGAATAATGGAATAGTAGTTAGCAACACCACCTTCATCAGCACTTACCTGCCTGTTATCAAGAAGTCTTTGACCATTGATGGTATTACTAAAGGTTAACGCTGTAATAAAGATTAACAACAAACACTTCGACAGTGCCATTTTTAATTAATCATGATTATAATGCATTATCATGTACAGTTATCCACTAGGCGTAAGCCGTACGATAAACGCTTTATCTGAATGCTAAATATAAACAAGCCTTTGCTAATGTGACACAGATCACAATTTATCTCAACAACCTAGACTGCGACTGATGCGCGCAAATTTAAATTCAAGACTGAGAATAGTACAGTGAGATGAGACATTCGTTCTCTCTTCGTTAAGAACAGATTATTTATCCTACATTCATTCAATATTAACGGAGCATGCGCGAGTTGATTTGCGCTCAAGTGGATCGGCTGCTGCGTCTGGCATACTGGTGCCAACGAAATTTTATCAATGGGACACATTCCAAACATATCCGTTCTACACGATGGAAGTAGAAAAATATAGAATTTTATACTGAAAAAATAAGAGCGCTACGCGACATCATCTTAACAAATCGACGTTTTTCATGCGTAAATATTGTTTCGATAACCAATCAAACATGTTACAGTCATACCTTGATATAACGTAACCTCGACAAAACGTGTCTTCGATATAACGTAACACGAAATAAAGTAACTTTTACTTCGATATAACATAACTCTAAAAAAACTGAAACCTAAACAATAGATGTGCTCGGAAACTAGTTCTGAGGACGTAAACATATAAAGGACTGTATTATAATTTATTTATATTTATTCATCTGACTCTTATGTGGTCTTAATGAACTCTGAAATGTATACACTAGACAAACCAGACAAAAAAATTAAACATAGAACATTGCAAACAGTTATCGTCTTAAATAGAGTCGTCGTTGAAAAGTCCACATTGTCAAGTTAATGTCAAATAAATCAAAAACTTCATTAAAAGTGCTACACATAAATCTAATGGGGCCATGTTGTCCGTATTCCACAATTCACGAATCAAGATGAAGGACATCCCGCTGGCGTAGTCTTCTCTCTGGTGCGTAGAAATTAATTTGTGTAAGGATATTCGGGGCATCATTTTCTCATTTCAGCTTTTTCGCCACAAAAACTACTTGAGCGCTGGAACGCCGTCGTTTGAGCGACTCTAGTTCGAGAAGTTGGCCACGTTCTTCATATGGTGGTAAGTTGGAGGGATCATTCCACGGAAGAGTGCGAAGAGCGTATCCAACGATTTTTTATCTTCACTGTTTCGATCCTAGCAATCCAATTGGCGTGATGCGGACAGCAGGCAACCACACTTGATTCTAAAATGGATCGTACGAGCGAGCAATATAGGGATCTTATGCAGAGTGGATTCCGGAAAGCTGAAGAAAGTTTGAAGGTGAATCCAAGTTGCCTATTTGCTTTAAATATTACATCGCTTTAGCGTACTCGAAATGTAAGGGCACTATCTAGCGCAAGCCCAAGTCTCGTACTTGAGTTACTCGTTGCAGAGGCTGTCCTGACAAACGGTTTGATCTTTCGATGGAAGAAAATAGTACTGCATTTAGAAATGCTAACTGTCATGAAATTACGAGAACACCACATTTCAAAGCAATCCACCATCCTTTGAAGCAAAAAATCTACTAGGCTCCTAATTATCATGTAGATCTTTACATCGTTGGCGTAAAACGTACGGCATCCAGGTGGAAGCATAATGTCGATTTAATTAATGAATTGCACGAATAGGAATGGCCCGAATTTCTAACTTAAGGTACAGGTATACCTCGATATAACGTACCTGTCACTTTTGACTTCCATCGCTGATTTTTCGTAAACGATCATTCAAACGCGCAAAGTAATAGCACCATTGGACAAATGAGATAATCCTCCATCTATTGGTATTATTAATTTGTATAATTCAATTGTTATTAGCGAGATATTGACATGGAAGTCAAAAGTAACAGTTACGTTATATCGAGGTATACCTGTACTCCGGAAGTATTGGAAAATGTCTCAGATAGTTCAGATCCAATTTTGACAAACAGCGTGCGTATGATCTGAGCCAAGTGACAAAGGAAGGAGATATGCCAATTTTTTTCCAGTTTAGGTAGTAATATTCCATGGTCAACACGAACGACCGCGGTTTTGAGATCCGTATAAACAGCGTCGATTTGGGAACCAGAATTCATGCTTAGTAGGCATGTGGAGAGGAATTGAACTAGGTTTGTTAAGACAGATCGTTTTTGGAAGAATCCGTGCGAACGTTTTTGTTCTGTTAGAAAAGTATTGAAATAATTCCTAGCTTTTAGCGCACACCCGTTATTTATATTTGTATTCTTACCGATAACAAAGTCCACATTAGAAATATTTCCTTCGATAGTTACATCTACTCTTTATTCTCCGACAAAATCAGCAACTTTAAAAAATATACGCTATTGGACACTTTCGAATGCATTTCTCCAAAATGGCGCGGTAATCGTTTTGATTTCCGACTATCCGGGGCATTATTTTTATTCGTGTTACCATATTAATATGGTAACATGGTAAATGTGAAATAATTGTTCAACCATGAATGTTGTTAACAATACTACATGTAATTGCTTTATGTGTTGATCAGTTAAAAAACGTTGAATAAATATTGCCAACGAACAGAAAAAAATATTGATGGCAATATAGTTGCCACTGCCTTATTAGGGTTACTCCCTTAAAGGATTAAGTCGGTTTTGAGCAAGAAAGGCCGGTTATGCGCTGTGTTATGTTTTTGACGTAGGACTACGTCTTTCGGGAAGGGTACCAATTCAGGGAAATTCAATGAAAATTGGTCAGACTTAAAATACTAATAACTTGGCCAATAATCAATGGATTTTGATGATTTGTGTGTCGATTGATTCACCAGTGTTATAATATATGTGTGGTATATAACACATTATAATTGTTGTACATTTAAATTATTAACAATGAAGAAATATGAAAATAATCATATTTCCCATACATTTTCTTCGACTGCAAGGTGCTCACCCCTAACACAGCCATCAGAAAGTTGATCCCTAACGACACAAGCCGACGTCGCACAATCATTCAACGTTGCACGTTGAACGGTTCGACCTCGGGCTCGGACTTGTTCGCTGCAGCGTGGACATCGCCCAACTAACAATTTTCACAAAGTAAACCCTTTACTCATTTCATTTATACAGCCTCAAGCTGTATTCAAACGTTATAAGATATGAGGACACCTTTGCTCAACCTCTATACAAGAAAATCTGGAGAACTTAATCAGCTACTTATGGCTGTTGAGACGGTTGTGGCAAGCTCTTATTGCATATCCATTTACGCTTCTATACAGCTGTTATTCTGCTGTTTGGTTGTTTGTGAACTTGAAAAGCGCTTATTCAACCTTTTCCCGGTTATCCAATAATCACTACACAGCTTTCTGTTGAAGCCGGGTTAAATATTGTTTACGCTTTTTTTGTTAGAGGAATTGAATGAGTTAATTTTGCTGTGCGAATCAAATTAATCGAAATTTGTTATAAGCACAGTACCAAATTATTTACCCTGCACCGGAACCTGGAATCGAACTCGAGACGACCGTATTGGCAAACCTTGACACTACCAAACCAACTTCGCTTCGCCAACAATAATATCGTTGAGTGGAGGCTTTGTAATAGTGCACATGGATCACTTTTCTCGACTAGTTAGTTCAGCTTTACTTTCAGCAGACGTTTAAAAATAAACCTAGTTGACTGTAAAAATGCTTCCAAAGTAGCGCTAACACAGTTTATTAGCTGAGTACAGGTTGTGCATTTTTAATGTTTATGTTATTCAGCAAAGAGTGGTTGGTTGTATAGAAGCCATCAAATGAGTAATATATTCACTTTATTAGATTTCATTTGCAGCTACAAGTTGAAAGTTGATTAATATTTTCATAGAAGTGGCATTAGCGTTTATTAGCTGCTGTTATTCAGTGCGACTGACAAAATGAATAATGATTGTGAAAAAGTTGAGTAAACACTCTCCAAAACTATTTTGCTAGCTTCTGCTTGTAGCTGTATCTGCAGTTTTTTTTTTCATCTACTTTACAGCACAATGCTGGAAAAGTTAGCTTATAAAGCTGAAAATATTAGTTTGGCATAGCATTCCTAGCAGCTCCATACACACCCCAACTAACAATTTTCACAATGTAAACGCTTTACTCATTTCATTTATACAGCCTCAAGCTGTATTCAAACGTTATACGATATGAGGAAACCTTTACTCAACCTCTATACAAGAAAATCTGGAGAACTTAGTCAGCTACTTATGGCTGTTGAGACGGTTGTGGCAAGCTCTTATTGCATATCCATTTACGCTTCTATACAGCTGTTATTCTGCTGTTTAGTTGTTTGTAAACTTGAAAAGCGCTTATTCAACCTTTTCCCGGTTATCCAATAATCACTACACAGCTTTCTCTTGAAGCCGGGTTAAATACTGTTTACACTTTTTTATGAAGGAATTTATTGAGTTTATTTTGCTGTGAATCAAATTAATCGAAATTAGTTACAAATCATCACCAAATTATTTACCCTGCACCGGAACCTGAAGTCGAACTCGAGGCGACCTCATTGGCAAACCTTGACACTACCAACTGTGCTACGCCAACACTTTGAACTTATGTAAACAAATCAACATTCCCTTCTACAACAAAATCGCTGTGTAGAGGCTTGATAATAGTGCACACGAATCACTTTTCTCGACTAGTTATAAAAGAGCGGAGTAAAAGCTGTAAATCTGCACCCCGTCTAAAAATAAACCTAGTTGACTGTGAAAATGCTTCCGAAGTTGCTCTAACACAGTTTATAAGCTGAGTACAGATTGTTTAGTTGTTGAAAAAGCACTTTTGATGTTTATGTTATTCAGCAAGAGTGGTTGGTTGTTTAGAAGCCATCAAATGAGTAATATATTCACTTTGTTAACTTTCTTTTGCAGCTACAAGTTGAAAGTTGATTAGTGTGTGTATAGAAGTGACATTAGCGTTTATTGGCTGATGTTATTCAGTGCGACTGACAAATTGAATAATGGTTGTGAGAAAGTTGAGTAAACGCTCTCCAAAACTATTTTGCTAGCTTTTGCTTGTAGCTGTATCTGCAGCTTCTTTTCAGCTACTTTACAGCACAACGCTGGAAAAGTTGGCTTACAAAGCTGAAAATGTTAGTTGGGACTCTACGAAAAAGACATGTAAATTTCAGTGCCCTGAGACCGACATATGCAAGCGGCCTTTTTGACATAAGAATCAGTTAAAAGGACGGGAAAATCAATTCAATCAAACGCACTTTTCGTCGAGTTGTCTATGTTTAAGTTTCAGGACACTTAATTTTACATGTCATTTTTGTTTACGTTCCATGATTTACGTCTCGTGTTAAAGTAATACTTTCTAAGTGTGCATACATCTCACACCAATAAAAAACAAACAGACGCAGACACAAACGGGTCAAGGGAAATGGAAAAACTGCACTTACCGTCGTGAGATCCACCACCATGGTCCGTGGGTTATCTTTGCCAAACACGTACCTAAAATTCCTTCGAACATCCAGCTCATCGGAGTATCTGTGATCCGTCGATATCAGAGGAACATTGCAATCAGTAGGAACTGTTCAATTTATCAGTCAGCCATAAATATATAGTGAAAACAAACGGCCTTTTTCAAGGCCAGCAATAAATCTTTACATAAGAGCTCTAGTTTATTGTAAATAAAAGTAAACCGTCCTCAAAAGTGTAAAGCTTGTGTAATAGTGCGCGATTAGCTTGTATCGTTTTGATGCGTTCGGCAAGCAGGGAATAAGCTTCGTGCGCCAAAGATACCGATTTTGACAAATTTACACTTACCAGATCGTGATCCGGCCGGAATCCAATTTGTATTCGTGTGAGCGCACGTCCGGTATTGTGCGAATGCTACTCAAAAGCGAAGTTTTACAGCTCATCTCGCTGCGAGTTACCATGTCATCACACCCAACGGTTCTTCGGGGGATTGTTTTTTTTTGGGTTATTTGGGGTATTTTTCTTTTTTTTTTATCCCACAACATTCATGACGTCTTTTTGGACTTTAATGGGGTGCAAACCACAAAAAAATAATCAAGTATTGAAGTAGTGTTAAGTTTTGAACGCTTAGGGTCTGTTCATAAGCTACGTAGACAATTCTGGAGGGGGGAGGGTTGATGAGCTGCCTCCCTGCATTGGTGCTAAGCACGGAAAACAAGATCGACGGAAAACAAATCAAGGAAAAAAAACTAGGGTTAAGATATAATTTCCGTCGTAACATGCACAACCCACACTTTACTTCTTTTTTTTTAAACGGGTTTGAACAAAAAATGGAATGTTTTTATCAAAGATGATTTACTTTTCCATACGTACGGTTTGATTTGATAAAGAGGAACAAATTGGTGAGATATTGTTAAAAATCTAACACTGCTTCTTAACTCCAATTACGAGTTTCAATTCCGTCCAAACATATTGAAACGTCATTGGGTTCACTTCTTTTTGAGAATAATGGATATATATATTCATATTATGCATTCTTATAGACTTTGTTTTGTACCTTTTGAACTAAACTATCAAACTAAAATGGGCGCTTATGCCGAAGTAGTTCTGTACCCTATGTGGTTAGACAATGGAATGGCTAAAAAATTGCAGACAAGCATCTATGAACCGAGGTAATTTTTGTAACATAAGTCTCACCCAAAAGCATGGAATTGGGAAAATTAAAGTTGTAAGAAAAGTAGGATCTCATCGGATGTGTTCTAAAGTTTAGGCAGGGTAAAGTCAATGATCAGGTTTTATTTGAAATCATGTTGTAAATATTGTCAAGCCTCATCGAGAATGGCAGAATCGGTAAAACGAATCAACTTATCGGACGGAGCTTTCTGCAGCTCTACTAGAACAATCTCATTTGACCTCTGTGTCAGAAGTTCCTTCGGTAGATACATGGTCACTTGTGGTCCTATCACTGGCCAATATCGCCCAAGATTGAAACCATTTACAATGATGAAACCCTATAATCAAGGCAAATAATTAAAGATACCGCATCGAAGATCGAATAAGACATTATTAGTACCTTTCCCCAACCGGTCATGTCAATGTATGTGTCGTGGATATCGCTGCTATCAATAAAAAGACTTCCTTTGAAGATTACTGGGCCATGAATTGCCATTCCTCGTCCATTTAATCCTTGGCCGTCGGACACCGTATCAGTCAACTGTTTAAGTTTATCAAAGTTCTCAAACGGATAACCAGTGATAGTCCAGTTAGATAGTTCCTGGTTGTACGGTTCATCATATGTCTGAATGGTTACGTTCCCAAGGATTCCCTGAAATCAATAATAACAGGTTGAAGATTAATGTCGCAATATATTTCAATAGCTAGCAAGTACTTACTTTATAATCATCAAGAACATCGAAATTAATACGACCTTGATTCTCCACCAATATTGAAAGTTTCGTACCCCATCCAGCGGAAATTGGAAGACTATTTATAGCGTTTTCTCTTGCAAGAGTACCAACATAAAACTGCAGAAACATACAGTGTTTTGTAATAATCATCCCCATAAATTGATTTAATGTTTACCTCATCCACATAGACTTGTGCTCTATCTCTCAAATCGTTGATCGTCAATTGGCTTGGATCACGCGTGAACTTGGGCAACGTAGTCTCGTATAACAAAAAGCCAGAGTTTTGATCCAATTCTTCAAAAGTCATCAAACGACTCGATGTCCTTTCGGGAGACCCTAATAGGCTTCTTGAGTTCGATGAGAAAATACTATCCACACTTGCCATCTGTACATCACCCAGTTTCATCTTTGGAGCACGATCTGGTACAGGCACGGCTGGTAGTTCAATGTACTGAAAAAATATTAAAGTTTATTTTTCGGCACCGGAAATCGTAAAGTATTTTTATATATTACCTCTCCAATAATATTCCTGAAGATAGTGTACTTCATTGTTGGATCTCCTGCTTCATCCATGGGGGCATCATAGTCGTAGGATGTAATATCGGCCATATATTTTCCTAGACCCCAATCATTAGCGCCTGCCCAAAAACCAAAATTGGTTCCTCCAAAGTACATGTAGAAGTCAACGTTCCATCCATCTCGGAGCATTTTGCGCAGCGTATTGGCCAAAGGTTCAGCAGGCCGACGTTGGTTACTTTCTTGCCAATGTGTCAACCATCCGGTGTAGAATTCGGTGTTTACCAGCGGACCTTTTGGCTGAACAGATCGCAACTTTGCCTGGTGGGTGTCAACCTCTTCGTCGGTCATCAAACCAAAATCGGTTGTGACAAAAACGCCAGGAACTTGACCACACTCAAGTTCATCCCCGTATGGTCTATCCACCGTGAAAAGCACAGCTTTATCTTGAGTGTACTTTTCGGTTTCCTGTTTCAGGAAATTAAGGTATGGTTTATCGCATTTTCCGAACGCTCCATACTCATTTTCAAGTTGCACCATGATGATGGGACCTCCGTTGCCGTACATGTATGGAGTCAATTGAGACATAAGTTTCTCGTACCAGATTTCTACCTCTTTCATGTAGTTGGCATCACTGGTGCGCACCTGGATTCCCGGATATTTCGTAAATAACCAGTATGGTAAGCCACCCTATAGTTTGTAAAATGGAATAAAATTTATAACTAAACTGCTTCATTTTTTAAAAAGTATTCAGTGGAAATAAAAAAATTAAAGATAATATTCAATATAATACGTCTAGTGAGTAGCCCTTGAGCTTTAATTGGTTTGAGAAATAGAAGCTTTTAAAGATTTAACCACAACGTGCGTCACAATATGTACGTCGATCACGTGACATCAACCATCATAGTCAACATACTTAAATATGTCACATCCGGACGGTATGTATTACTGCCGGGATTGTTTGCCCTTTTATTCACGCCAAGTACACAAATTGTGCCTACTAAGCAGTTGATGGAGCTTTCCAGGAGAGCATCATCTTCATAATCAGTATGAGTTCACATGCAATTTTAAGAGAATTATCTGGACCTGATTTGAAATCAATTGAGCTCGGTGGAGCAAAATCTACATTTTGCACCACCCTAGGATGTATAGCTACTTACGTTGTCAATTTCTGCGCAAATATATGGTCCTGGTCTCAGGATGACATACAGATCGGCCTCGATCGCAGCTTCAATGACATCCGTGATATTAGCTATGCCATCCCACACGTACTGGTTCTCCTTCGGATTATGCAGTGACCATTGCACATATAGATCAACGGCGTTGAGTCCTCCCGCGCGCAGTGTTTTTAGCTTTGAACGCCACGTTTGTGGTAAGGCTCTGAAGTAGTGAAATGATCCAGCCACGTACCTGAAATCTTTGCCATCCATCACAAATGTGTCCCGGTCATAATCGATGGTGAAGGACCGTTCATCCTGCTGAGTAAATATTTAAAGAAAGATACTTTAGCATCAATAAAAACAAACAAAAAACACTTAATCATAAAACACTGCTCTGCTAACATTTTTCTTAACTATATCCAATTTTGTTGTTTCACCGTACACAAAAAATCCTAACAGACAAAGGCATAATTTTAACTTAAACATTTTGCCTTGCTTCTCGGTTTGCACTGCTGCTACGATGTCAGCAGTCAAGAAGTTGCGAAAATAGTGATTGGAAGCAAATTATCGTTTGAGTGTCCATCCGCGTCTCGAGTTGAATGTATATATAGGTTCTATATGCTATATCTCGAAGGAGAGGCTTAATTTGATCGATTGAGGTTGTCCAATGAACGCAAAGTAGATGAAATAGATATGTTACTAATTTTATACACTTGCCAATTTGATGATTATATAATATGAAGGAAAGCTGTTGAAATTGTTTTCTTGGATCAAAACAACTATGGAACTACTTAAATACCGCATTGTTAAGGGACCATGTAAAGTTCCAGTTAAACCTAATAGCCAAAAAAGAAGAAGGGATATAATTATCCATAATATGTAAGGACAATAATTGCATTCAGTAAGCAGAAATGCGAAACTCTATGCTCAAGCCTCGTCTTGTTGCTAAGCTGAACCAGTTTTGAATAATGAATTTATACACCGTTCATAAAGCTCAACAATAAGCACGCTGTTAAAACATGAACGTTTAGTGTTGTAGGAGCTATTTTTGTCAAACTGTAAAAACTTTTTTTTTATTAAACTGTTGTAATTCTTTCGTAGCGGAAGGATTTTAATAAAATTTGAAGTATCTTAAAGATCAATCCTGACCTAATGAATATAGACGTCTAAGTGGAAAACCTGTGTAAAGAAAGATAGAAGGATTAGTAAATTCCATTTAATTCCATTACCATTCCAAGGATAAGCATATACCTTGACAGATACGCATATTTCGTCTTCGCGTAATTTGCAAACTTCTTCAGTGTTTTGTACTAATACTTGACACTGTATTAGTACGAGACACTGATGAAGATGATGCACATTGTAGACAAAATACGCGTATCTGTCAAGGATAAGCAAATAACGTAGTGGAATCAAATATAAGTTAGTAATCCTTCTCTCTTTCTTTAAAAGATCATTGGTTTGACTACAAATCAGCAAAATTTGTCTGACCTTTTCCGATTTGCCGTAAATTATGTACAATTAGATTTCATGGGAAATCATTGACATTTCTACTGAAATTTATCCATTTTATTTTTTGGCGTATTTGATATTTTTCAATAAATAATAGCACAAAACCGTTAATCCGAAAACGAAAATATACGTGGTTAGCCCTTATTTGCCTGCGATTTTTTTTTTTTGTTTTTTTCTACACCGTGTTATTGAAATAGGAACAGGGAACCTCGTTACACCGTCACGCACATAACGGTTGAACAAAAATTAGTTTTATGCAAAAAAAATGTTCAATTCTTCAGCTTCGCAAGAAATAACCTTTGTCTGTGAGTACTGTGAATAATTTACCATTGAAACATTACAGATTACATCGGAAGAGGAACAGTTAGCATAAACGTTTTCCTACGCGATTTAAGCAACTGTTTCCCGGGAAAAGATTTTCCCCAAAAATTGCCGGTTTTCCTTAGAGAATTTTGCAACCATCATCCTTATAACAGTTTTCACTTTGAAATGTAGGTGGCGAATGCTCGAAATTTTTTAACTGCAATGTTCTCTAAAGTTTTAAGACTGTTTCTGTAGTTCCCAGGATGTATTTCAAAGTTTTAAACGGCTCATAACTCTGAAAACTTTAAACCCTCTTGGAACTTCCACGACCTTATCAGTTCCCTAAATACCAATTGGGAATGCACTCCTTTGGAGCTCGTCTCCAAAGCTCTTTGAACCTCTCCGAAGTCTTAACAGCTCTGAAAATCGCAGATTCTCTCTTGTGAAATTTTAAGATGTTCGAAGTTCACTGAATTTATCTTTAGTTCATCAAACCTTTCAGTAGTTCTTTTCTTTGAGAAATGTTATGAACTTCAGAGAAGTTCATAGAGCTTCGTAGAAGTTTAGTGAGCCCCAGGAAAGTCTTGCAAATTTGAGACACATTTACTTAATTAAAAAAAAAACATAAGTGTACTTCAGAGAAATTTAGAGAAGCACGCGGATTATTATTTATGAAATATCTACTCTACCTATTCAAAATCCTACTTTTAAAAACATTCTTAGAAATCATAAAACCATAATGGACACCTACGTCGTTGAAGGCTATCAGGCAAGAATTTAGTGTGTTGCTCTGACCGAAGGCGGTTCTATGTTCAGATACAGCAAGAAGAAGAAATCTATTTAGTTTCCTAGGTGGAATATAGTGATGACTTCCCAGGAGCAATTGAGGGCAGTCAATGTTTCCGCCACGTAGGTCGAAAATAAACAGTTGCTGGATCCTTTGTCGCCTTCCATGCCATGTTTCCAAGTCAATCATTATGATAATTGAGGTATGGAATGGAGCCCAGATGGGAGCAACGTATTCTATGAGGCTACGGACTAAACTGTAGTACAGTGTCTTCTGTTTAATGTCGAATGAAGCCGATAACAGCCACATCATTAAACCTCAATTTGGAGTCAAAAAAACCATAAAGCTTCCCGTAAAAAAAAATCATGATATTTACTGTCTAAACATTGGATATTTTTGTTGATTACCATAACATCACAACGAAATTCATGGTTCACAAAAATGACAATCATAGTATATGAGACATTTACAGTAAAAAGCATCTTAACAATAAAAAAAACTGATTTTTCTTGAACAAATTTGATGTCATCACATTAATTTTTATTGTGTCAGATCGTTAAAAATCGATTATTATTTTTTCGTCCGTACAAAAATTTAACAAAAAAATTTATTGCACTCTAAATTCAACTGTAAAAATCATTGTAATTTCGTTGTTTTAATATAATTATTTTAAAGTTTGTTTTGAAATGATCCTCTTTCAGTGCTGAAAAGTTCACCACGATTCATTTTTTTTAAAGAAGTTATACTTGATGGAAGTCGCGAACCGAAAAATCAGACGTGGTCAGGTTCAAAAATCGCGAAGTCGTTGAAATTGTCTAAATCACCCGTATGCAGTGTACTCAAACGTTTCCGTGAGCGGCATACTATCGATCGGCAAGATCATAGCAAGCGTCGTAGTGGAACTAAGCCAGCCAAAGCACCGTCAGAAGGATTCGTCAGTGAGAAGGATTTCGATCTTTCCGGGCCAATAAGCAACCAACAGGACACTGAAGCAGAATCTAGTGGCCAAAAGACATGCCCGGAAGTTGTACAATGAGGTTCTTACAAAGTACGAAGGATACATCCTCATGGACGACGAAACGTACTTGAAGATGGATTATGGGCAGCCTCCCGGACTGCTAGTGGAACTAAGCCAGCCAAAGCACCGTCAGAAGGATTCGTCAGCGAGAAGGATTTCGATCTTTCCGGGCCAATAAGCAACCAAACAGGACACTGAAGCAGAATCTAGTGGCCAAAAGACATGCCCGGAAGTTGTACAATGAGGTTCTTACAAAGTACGAAGGATACATCCTCATGGACGACGAAACGTACTTGAAGATGGATTATGGGCAGCCTCCCGGACAAAAGTTCTATAAAGCCACTGGTCGAGGTGATGTCCCTAGCAAGTTCAAATTCGTTTTTGCCAGGGGGAACGACACTTCAGGATTATCCCATTTTTACCCAAACCTCTCATATAATTTTCAACGTGCACAAAATTTCAATCCATCCTATCTATTCTTTCTATTCCCAACTTATCCCTTCTGTATGCACACAAATTGGCAAGCAAGCCGTGCAGTTTCTCGAAGTTTTCAGGTCGACCGCGAAGCACTCTGCCATACTCACTGTCAGTTTACAACACTCTCCACAACAAACACCACGTATAATCGGTCTCGGGGGCAAAAAACATCAAGTGCATCACGGAGGAGACGGCAACGCACATCCATTTCCCGGACTCAAACCGATCGAATTCGACGGATAAGAGCCCGGGTCTCTGTGTGTTGTAGCATGGAAGTTACCGAACAGGCGCGAAGCAACTGTTGATTTCGTTCGAACTGCTGATTCTAGCCCCGGGAAAAGCCTTACCAATGAAACCCCCTACGACAAGCAGGTGGAAAAGGAATTCAGGTCGTTTTTTCCACTCGGCCCAAGTTTTACTCGTCTCTGCTGCTGGTCAAGGGTTCGGATAAGAAAGAGCTAATGGTGAAGTAAGACACCCACCGGGTGATGTATTTCTATGCGACAATATTGCGGATCAAATTCCCATCCAAATACAGCTGGGAATATTAACTGGAACTTTGTAATCCATCGCCATCACCCGTTCATCCTACTGTGCAGTTTCGACCTTTTCGGTGCGGAACCGTTTTCTGCACTTGAGCTGTGAGCTTTGATTCCGTTTCGCTAAAAATCAATATGTTTGACCCCCCCCCCCCTTGGAACAAAACGTTACACTGAAAATAACCCCCCCCCCATTATTTATTACGCAACGCTCTATAAACCCCCCTCCCCCACCTTTTCATTTAATTAATGTTTGATTTCGTTTTGTATTTTTTTTATTTTTAGGTAATTAATTATATTATTAATATTCAAAACAAAAACAAAAGATCAGTGTACCATCGAGTACCTCCTTTTCAAAAGTTCAAGATAGCAAAAATCTCAATTTATAAAATTAAAACAGATCCATTTAGTAAAGCAAGATTTAGTGATGATAGCCTTCGTTGTCGTTGCCAAAAACGTCAAAAAAGACCTGTATTTTCAAACTTTACATCAAGAAACGAAAAAAAAAACAAACTGTTCTCTTTTTTACGCAACGCAAGGCTTTACTACTCCTCCCCTATGTATAATTCGTAACAATATAGGTGACCCCCTCTCCCCCTATAAGTGTTACGTAATTCATGGACGCTTCATTGCAGCAAATTTTTCTTCTTTTTACACCTATCCTCTTCGCGTTCAGACT